TGATAAATATTAATGCAGTTAATTTGACTGAATATAATGTGGGGTGTTAAATAATAATAGTTGCTAATTGCTGATTAAGGAAGGCATTTTGGTTTTTGTTGTTTTTTGTTTGTTTGTTTTCACAATAGTTTGTATACATTCCCCTGTTGGTGAAACTCTGTCCCAGTCAAACATAGGTAGGTTTGTAATCACTGAAAATACATTTTGATTTTCGGCCCTGGCTAGCGTAGCTCAGTGTATTGAGCGCGGGCTGGGAACTAAAGTGTCCCAGGTTCGATTCCCAGCCAGGGTACATTCCTGGGTTGCAGGCCATAACCCCCAGCAACCGCACATTGATGTTTCTCTCTCTCACACACTCTCACACTCTCTCTCTCTCTCTCTCTCTCTCTCTCTCTCTCTCTCTCTCTCTGTCTCTCTCTCTCTCTGTCTCTGTCTCTCTCTCTCCCCCGCCCAAAAATGGATGAATAAAATCTTTAAAAAAAAATACATTTTGATTTTCCTTAGTTTCTAACTAAGCAATTGGAAACGTTTGTTCCTATCTACTTTGAATGATGAAACTATTTCTTGTGTCAAAGAACATTATATACATGTAAATAGTTGTGACATAAAATATGGTTTTAGCCATGGAGAAATTTTGACAATATTTCTTCTTTTTTTTAATTAGTTGCTCTCTTAGGATTTTTTTTGAAAGGATTTTATTTGTTTGTTTGTTTGTTTGTTTTTAGAGAGGGAAGGGAGGGGGAGAGAGAGAGAAACATCAATGTGCAGTGTCTGGGGGTCATGGCCTACAACCCAGGCATGTACCCTGACTGGGAATCGAACCTGCGACACTTTGGTTTGCAGCCTGTGCTCAATCCACTGAGCTACGCCAGCCAGGGCGAGAAAGTTTGACAATATTTCATTGCAAAATTGGATCCTGGTAATAGTATGCTTAGATTTTTTTTCCCCTCACAAATAATATTGTGACATTTCCAAGTTTACAGTTCTGACTGTTCAAGTATTACTAAGTTTTTATGTAAAGTGGAGTTTTAATTGGCTAATTTTTACCACTTTCTGAAAATTATTATACACATGCACTTTATGTCTGTAATTTTAGATCTATTGTTGCACAGGATTTCTGGCTATTACTAATCAGTTGCATCAAGTAAATTCTGATTTGCTCGGTTGGTGGCTTTGTGAACGACAATTACCTTCAGGCGGACTGAATGGAAGGCCAGAGAAGGTATTGTTTCATAAGATAAACTGTTCTAATAGCTTTGTAATCTTTAGTGAGGACTACTTTTGTCTTAGCTCTTACAATATTGCTCTTATAAGTTAATAATTTTTATCTTCTGTTACAATTTTTCTGTTCTACGTCTGAAAAAAAGGCCCTTGTGAAAGTAAAACAACTGGGGTTGAAATGCTTCTTAAACCTGGTGACCATTTACAAGACAACACGGTGTTTACCAGAGGGAAGGAAGCTTGGGAGGGTAATAAAAGGGGTTCAGATACACAGTGATGGAAGATGTTTTGCTTCTGGGTGGTGGACACACAGTGTGGTATACAGATGATGTATCATAAATATGTACACTTGAAACCTATATAACCTCATTAACCAAGGTTATACCAGTAAATTTAATTGAAAGAAAGAATCCAGGTGGAGAGCTAAACCTTGTGAAAAAAAAAGACTCCCGAAGGAAAGATGTGCATGGTGCTTTCTGATGTTCTTTACAAATTCGTCTTTTGATCTTTCCTATACTGAGGTAGACTTGCATTTGTGTTCACACATAATCTGGATGAATATCAAGTTACTCATTGAAGGGTTTATGTCTGGGAGCCAGACTACAGTTAAGTGAACATATTCATCTAGTATAGCAATCTCTGTGTTGGCTCTGGCTGGGGTAGCTCAGTGGATTGAGCACAGGCCTGCGAACCAAAGGGTCCCCAGTTCGATTCCCAGTCGGCATGTGCCTGGGTTGCAGGCCAGTTCCCAGCAGGGGTGGGTGAGAAACACTGATGTTTCTCCTTTCCATCCCCTCTAAAAATAAATAAATAAAATCTGAAAGAAAAGAAAGAAAGGAAGGAAGGGAAGGAAAAGAAAAAGAATCTCTCTGTTGACTCATGGGTGTGAAGGGACAATGGATTTGTCAAAACAAAGAGATTAAAACAAAATGTTGCTCTGGCCTGTGGCTTAGTTGGTTAGACCGGTGTCCCATGAACCAAAGGGTTGAGGGTTTGAGCTCCTATCAGGGCATGAATGGAAGACAAACAGTGATGTTTCTCTCTTCCCGTCCTTTTCTCTCTAAAACTAGTCAACATCCTTGGGCGAGGATTTAAAATACTGTCAAACCTTTTCATTCAAAAAAAATTTTTTTTAAGAAGAAACTAATTTTTGACACTTGGATTTGGAAGAAGGGAAGATTTTTTCTTCAGTGTGTTTAGCTCTCACACAGTATCCTCTGAACAGTTTTGTTTAGTTTTCACACATTAAATGGGGTCTATAAAGGCCAGAGAGTAAATATTTTCAGCATTGTAGGACATACAGTCTTATTGCAGCTGAACTACCCTGAAGAGCAAATGCCGCCCTAGATCAGTGGTTTTCAATTGGTGTGCGGCAAGAATTTTTAAAACATGCAATACCTGACTAATTATAGGGACTGATCTCTTTTCTTTTGGGTTGTCAAATTAAAAAATAACAACAGCCAACAAAACAATAGTTGTCTTACTATGATTGTTATATGAGCAAAAAATCTATTTTTTGGTGTGCCACAGACTTTTAGTGATTTTTTTTATGCCATGGAATGAAAAGGTTGAAAATGCCTGCCATAGACAATAAGAAATATATAGGCATAGTTATTTTGCAAAAGAACTATGCATACATTTGTATTTAATAGGATTTTTCCTGTCAGAAAACTTTCTTAAAACTACACATGTAAAAACTGTTCTTTGGTTGTCTAGGTTTAACTCGAGCTATAGCTTGGTGAGCCTTGACCTAAAAAATAGGGCCTGGTGGTTCTTTCCTCATTTTTGTTTACTTTCACTTCCTTAATATTTCCAAATAAGTTGGGGAGGGGCACATAGGGAAATAACCAGGTGGTTTCTACTTAAGATCCTATTGAAAACCTGAGCAACTTTTTTTTTAAAGATTTTAATTATTTTGAGAGAGGGGAAGGGAGGGGGGGAGAGATAGCCTCTTAAATGACCCCAACCAGGGACCTGGCCTGCAATCTGGGTGCATGCCTTGACCAGGAATTGATCTGGGTACCTTTCACTTTGTAGAACAATGCCCAGCCCTCTCAGCTACGCTGGTCAGGGCTGGGCAACTTCCAAACAGTCAGAAAATGGCTTGGGGTAGGAATTGACAGGAATCGGCATTTACAGTGTAGGGCAACTTTTAATATACCTACGAATAACCCAAGGGTCTTGTTGAAGTGAAGATTCTTGACTCAATCTCAGGTAGGATCTTACATTTCTTAAACAGCCATGTTTTGAGGAGCCAGGCTGGTTTTTAAGCAGGTGTGTTAGTACTTGTTGACTGTTCTAACTAGGGAAATGCATCATACATCACCACAGATTTCATGAGCCTTACCACCAGCTTCTTGGATAAGGGACTGAATTAGGCATTCATTCATTGCAGATGAAATAAAGGTAGATGGAAGATATGAAGTACTGAAACAGCAAGCTTTCTGTGGATTGGAGCGTTTGGTCTTTTCTTTCCCTGTCTTTAATTCTGAGCAGTTGTCTTTATGAATTTCAGGATTTCCAACACTGCATGTCAGTCTCTCCCTGTATTTCTCCCCACTTCTACCCATGTGTGGTCTAGAGAATAAAATGGGCAACTTTGTGGCTTTTTCTCCTAGTTACCAGATGTGTGCTATTCATGGTGGGTGTTGGCTTCCCTAAAGATAATTGGAAGGCTTCATTGGATTGATAGAGAGAAACTGCGTAGCTTCATCTTAGCATGCCAAGATGAAGAAACTGGAGGATTTGCAGACAGGCCAGGAGATATGGCAAGTATATTTCTGACATGTTCATGTAACAGTTACACTTCAGTGTTTTGCATTGTATGTTTCTAAGCTATTCCAGACTTAGAAATGGATGGTATTTCCAAGTGTTGCTTTGAAAACAAGATGCTGTTTTGGGTAATTGTTGAGACTGTACAAAGAATAAAAACAAGTTTTCAGAAATTTCTTATCACATTGCCAAAACACTGTATGGTTAACATCACAATTTGAAGCCATTTTTATTAAGAAAACTTGAAGCATACACTCAAGTAAAGGAAGTCAAGTGAGCTCCAGTATAGGTAACTTGTCATTCAGAAGCAGGGTTTTAGACATTTTCATTTTGTAACACTAAGTTTTCATTTTTTTAAAATAGGTAGATCCTTTCCATACTTTATTTGGAATTGCTGGATTGTCACTTTTGGGAGAAGAACAAATTAAACCTGTCAGTCCTGTTTTTTGCATGCCTGAAGAAGTACTTCGGAGAGTGAATGTTCAACCTGAACTAGTGAGCTAGATTTATGGATGTAAAGTTATTTGGCATAATTTTGTCATCCTAACATTTCTGTATTTGAAATGCTTATCAAACTTAAAATGACTTCTGTGTTAATATTTTATATATAATTGTCTTAATTTTAATAAATTGTGTAATTATACATATTGTAAAATAAAGGTCTATCTTGTTTATGCTTCAATATATTTAAATTTTCCTAATGGTAATCTGTATTTTAAGAATTTGTTTGTGTTCTCTTCATATGTTACATAGTAATTTGTGTAAATTGATCTGTGTCAATGAGATTGTTAACTGATAAAAATTGATAAGCCCAACATATGAATTAAAAGATGCACTAAAATAAATGGCTTTTTAAGTCTGGGAGTTACTTGGAAGACTTAGTTACCCTGAGGTGGTCACAGTAATTTAGGTAAATGATAGTTCATCCTAGAATATGATTGCAACTTGGACTACACTTTTTTAGTGTAGTCCAATTTTTGATTTTTTTATGGCAGAGTGCCAGCTATTATTAAGGGATTGTTGGTTTTTTTGCCCTCCTGTGATAGATGCCATAATAATTTTAAAGATTTCATTTATTTTCAGATAGGGGGAAGGAGAGGGAGAGAAACATGGATGTATGAGAAACATTGATCTGTAGTCTCTCGCGTGCCCCCAAAGGGGGATCTGGCTTGCAACCCAGGCATGTGTGCTGGCCAGGAATGGAACCAATGACCTTTTTGCTTTGTGGGACTGCCTAAGCCACACCCCTCTGGGTGTGAGGGCACCTTTTGTGGTGGTTTTCAGAAAGACTAAAATGAGCTCAGGTGTTCTCAGAGTATTGCATTTTTAGTGAAAAATATTTTTCTTGAGGTGGAATTTGAAATTTCTTAAATGTTTGCAATACTTTGTATTGGTCATTTGAAGTGATTTTGCACATGGGTATTCATGGAACACACATTGGTCAGTGTCAATTTTAACATTTTGAGTGTAGGTTCTTAGATCAATCAAATTGTTGGAATTGTCCAGGAGTATTTTGACAAGTAGCTAATTTGAAGAATTTCGGCTAAATTTCAGGCTTTCTGAAAACTTGGAGGTCATTAGGTGGAACGCTGAAATGGCATAGGAAATATTTGAAGAAGTTTGGAGGGCTGCTGTCATTGCTGCCTGTGGTTGAACTATTCTGTGAATACCCGATTTATGATAATTGCATGCATTCAATAATATTTTAAAAGGATGCCTTCTAAGGGTATCCAGAGTATTTTTTCAATCCTATCATCTTTATGAAGTTTGTACTATTTTCATACTCAAGAAAACAACATACATAGTTTCCCAAAGATTATTTGTTGAAAAGCTAGAGTTTGCCCTGGCTGGCGTAGCTCAGTGGATTGAGCGCGGGCTGGGAACCAAAGTGTCAGGTTCGATTCCCAGCCAGGGTACATGCTTGGATTGCAGGCCATAACCCCCAGCAACTGCACATTGATGTTTCTCACGTGCTCCCTCCCTCCCTCCCTCCCTTCTCTAAAAGTGAATAAAAAAAAAAAAAAACTTGAAAGAAAAGCTAGAGTTTGAAGTTGTGTAGTCTGCTCCTAACTGAATTATGGGTGTGAAACTTCAATAGCAGAAATTGGGAGATTGGGATCTGTTCTTAAAACTGTCCCAAGAGAGATCCATTGTTTGCTTCTTTCCTATTATACTGTACAGAACCATGTGTTTACTGGTTGAAGGGCTATCTTGCAGTGATAATAACCTTGTTCCGGATGCTTATGCTTAAGAGGTTAACTGCTCTTCCCTGTATTTAGCCACAAGACTGATGTTAAATGGATTGTACCATGAAGTGTAAGCATGAAAAAGGAGCTAGTGTATTTGGGAGTAGTGGGAAATGTTAAGCCTTGGGATAAGGGAAATAGAATGATACATGAATAATGGGGCTACCAAATTGTAGGATGGTAGGCTACCTACATGTAGGCTATCAGTTAAACTGCATGTTGAGTTCTGTACCTCAGATAAAGGTCATAACCAAATCCTGCGGTGGTGTACACCAGTTGCGAATAGGTGAAAGGTGGAGTGGAAAGCTGGAGTCCTGTGCGCATGCGCTCTGTGGCTCAGTGCGTCTGCGCGTCGTCCTCCCGCCTTTTCCCCCCAGTGTTGCTTTCTCACAGCTAAGGGCTGGATCAGAAGTCTCTTCCTGGTACCTGAGGTTTGTGAGGATGCTGAGGCCTGAGATCTCTTCAGCCTCACCTTCTGTCCCTGCTGCTTCCCTGGCATCCCTAGAGGTTCGGTCACAAGGGTCCCGCTACAATTTCGGGATCCGGGAGACACCCCAGAGCCACCTGTCAGCCAAGGCCTCGGCCTCCACACCAACTGGCACGTCTGGGGTCGCAGGCGACCGGAGCAGCAGCAGCAGCCTCCCTCTTGCGCCACGTACCCTGCCAGCTCAAGGCAAGGAGTGGGGGGTGGATTCCCCCTGGGGACAGACCTGAAGTTCCTGGAGGTTCGGGAGCAGGCGTTGGTGGTTTGCGCAGAGAGATTTCAGTTGTGGTTTGGTTTGAGGATGACAACCGACTGCTCTGGGAGTTGGATGGTCTGAGTGATTAAAAGGCTGAACTCTCCAAATTGATGTTGTTACAAGGGTGTGATGGTGGATGGTTAAGTTCTGATGAAGGCCAAAGTATCTGGTATAATATCGCTCCTTCCTCTAGCTCAGCCTTCCCCACCAAAAATACAGTTGATCATTGATAGTGTGTGAGGCGGTGTTAGGGTCACCAACACTACCCAATGGAAAATCTTCAAATAACTTGACACCCCCAAAACTTTACCAATAGCCTACTGTGGACTGAAAGCCTTACCCCTGATAATAGTCAATTAACGTGTATTTTGTATGTTTATGTGTTATATACTGTATTCTTACTATAAAGTAATTTAGAGAAAAGAAAATGTTATTAAGAAAAATCTGTGACTAAATAACTTGTATATTCACATACTGGTATGTTATGCAATAAATAAAAAAGTAAAGCTAAAAAATTATAAGGAAAATATATTGATAGTATTTATTGAAAAAAATATGCATGTAAGGACCTGCATAGTTCAAACATCTGTTCAAGGGTCAATTGTATATAACAAAATGAAAGAATTTGTGTACAATTTGGTGATAGGAGTGGTGAACCTATTGGTTCCTGAACATAAGTCTCCAGGCCTTCTAGGATATGATGAAAATAGATTAAACTTCATGTTAATGGTATGTTTAGTATTTTAAAATGTGTGTCCCTCAAGGTGAGTTCAACTCATTTATTTTATATTTGGTCACCCATGGCAAAATCATCACTGTTTTCACATTCTATTGCAACTTAATGGGAAGTTAACAAATGTCAAATCCAGTGGTCACTTTTCAGTTCATCCTGTGTGACCTTTCCACTGTATTTAATATTCATCAGTCTTCTCAAGAATTCTCTTAATTTGGTTTCCTTGACTCTGCTCTCCCAATTTTCTCCTAACTTCCGGAGAACTCTGCTCAGCTTTGTTAGTTTCCTAATTATTGGTTTGTCCTTAGAGTTTTTTTTTTCCTTCTAGACCACTTCAACCTGGATGTGATTATCACCACAGCGCTCATTTCATCTATACTACAAATTCCAATGTCAGACTGTCTTCTGGAGTTTCTAGTGAGGGACCTAGAGACACCTCAGACTCACTATATGATTAATTGAATTCCTCTTCTACTTAACTCAATCATTGGGTTGCCAAAATCTTAAACTTAAAAGACTTTAACAATTCAAGAGTTCCCTCACACACAACATCCAAATATAGTCCTCTCTGTATTGTTCAAATAATTCTGTCCATTTCTATCTCTGCCCCATTATAGGCCCTCACATTTTATGTCTGAATTATTACATCAAACTTCTAAGTATTCCTTTTTCAAGTTTAGTGTCACCAGAGTCATATGAAAAATGAAAATTTTATCATATCCCTTGCCGTTTAAATCATTGGCTATTTTCAGGTAAAAGGTCAAACTCTTTTAGCAGGATAACTGAGGCCATTCGAGGTCTATTTCTGGACTTTACAGCCTTATCTCCCATAAGTTCTTAATGTTTATTTTCTAAGCTACCTGGGCTACTTGGAGTTTTTACAAGGCAATATGTGTTTGCTTTGTTAGTATAGTCCTCCTCTTCATGAAATGATTTGTCACACATTAATTCTCAACAGTAATAACCTCCACCAAATAATGAGTACCTACTCTCAGCTCCTTACTAGGCATGTGGTATTTCTGATTCTCACAATAATTCTGCACAGTGTTTTTTTCTTTTTTGTCCTCATTTATAGAAGGACTCAAGGCCCTCATAAGTGAAATAGTTATGCTAGGAGCTGTGAATAATAATATTCTGTGTTCCCTGAGACCTTATAGTTCAGTAGTGAAGACAGACTTAAACATCAATAAATAAAGTTTTTAAAGAACTATATTTGAGGTATTCACAGATATTTGGGGTCTTTCTAAGAAAGGTAGGGGAACCAAAGAAAAATTTTACAGAGGGAGTACAACTTGACCTGGTATTAAAGTATAACTAGGACAAAGACTATTAGCTAAAGAGAAAAGAAGAGAAACTAAACATTCTTAAGGGAAAAAAAACCTTGTGCAAAGGCACAGAAGTGTGATATAGCATGCATACAAATAATTTTGTTTGGCTAGAGCACTAGAGTAATCTGATAGAAACTTGAAGTACTTGTAGCAGTTTGGTCAGGGAGGCAAAAAGGTTTTGTCTGCCATCCCAACAACAGGTCTCTGGCTTTGGTTAATAGGTTAATTGTAGCACTGTATCCTGGGGGGTGGCTGGGAAAGGTATTTTGTTGGAGAACCAACTTTTAGAAGGAAAATGGTGAATTCTGTGGGGACATGATGACTATGAAGAACCTCTGGGGTATCTAAATATTCATATTAAGGCAACTGAACATACGGATCTGGGGCTAAGAAGAACAACTTGGAAGAGATACAGATTTGTAAATTCCTAGTATATTTGAGGCTAGAGGGAAGAAGATAAAGAAGGTACAGCAAAATAGAGGTCAAGGAAAGGAATGAGTGAGTTTCAAGAATGAGCTTAGAGTGTAAAAGTAAACAGAACAAGACACAGCCTTTTCTTCAGATTCTGGTAACTACTCCTTTCCTTAGCTCCTTTAAGCCTATAGATGGTAATGGAACATACTTTGTTCCGGAGCTATGCTCTTCTTTATGATGATATCCTTATACCCTCTCCACACCTTTGTAAATATCCCCTTTATCAAGCTCCTAAAGTTATTCTAGTTTGAATATGTCATCCAACTTTTTCTGGGACCCATACAAAAGAGTTAGATTTTATCATATGGTGAGTATGGAGAGACCCTGAGGACTTGTAAGAATGAGAGACATGTTAAATCTCCTTTTCAAAAAGCTGTGTGAAGACTATATTAGAGAGGCAAAATACTGAAGGCAAGGAGAACAATTAGGAGATTTGCAAAGGTCCTGAAGAAGATAAGGGCTTGAAATGGGCTAGGAAGAGTGGAGGTGGAAAGGAATTTTAGATATTTAAAAGAAAAGAGTTATAAGACTTGGTCATGGATTGGTTGTTAGAATTGACAAATGGGGAATTAAGAATGACTACTAGGTTTATGGCCTGAGTAACGGTACAAGATGGCATAATTGGCCACAACTGGTAATAAAAAAATAATAAATTTTGAGGAAAAGATACTGAGTTCATTTATGGGCATTTAAAAATTTGAGGAAGATATCTAAAGGTTTACATCCAAAAGATCAGTATATATAGGGATCTAGAGCTACAATGTCTAGTAGAAATTTCTGTGATGATAGAAATATTCCATATCTATGCTGATATGGTAGCCACTAGCTATAGTTTGAGAGCATTTGAAATGTGGCTAGTGTTATTAAGGAACTGAATTTTTAACTTTATTTATTTATGATTTAATGTAAATAGCTACATGTTTTAAATAGCTACTATATTGAATAATGCAGGTGTAGATGTAAGAATGACTTGTGTATTTTTAAAAAGATTTTATTTATTTTCAGAGAGAGGGGAAAAAAGGGGGAGAGAGAGGGAGAGAAACATCTTTGTGAGAGAGAAACATCAGTTGGCTGCCTCTCATGTGTCCCCAACCAGGACCTAGCCTACAACCCAAGCATTTGCCCTGACTGGGAATCAAACCAGCAACATTTTGGTTCACAGGCCAGCACTCAATCCACTGAACCACACCAGCCAGGGTGGTTTTTGCATTTGCATTTTGCATTTTAGGACTGAAAAAGTAAAAGAAGAATAATATTTTGTGATGTGTGAAAATTACATGAAATTCAGATTTCAGTGTCTACACATAAAGTTCAATTGAAATACAGCTGTGCTCATTCAGTTACATATTGTTTATGACTGCTTTCCTACTATAGTGTCAGAGTTGAGTAATTATGACAGATCCAATGGCCCACAAAGCCTAAAATATTTACCATCTGGCCCTTTATTAAAGTTTGCCAGCCTGCGATATATAGTGTCAAAGAGTTAGGGCTGTGTTTGAAGGCTTGAGAGTTGTCAGGAAATAGATATTAACAGAAACCAGGATAACAGATAAGATGCCTAGAGAAAATGTGTAATGTTAATATGAGAGGTGGTGAAAAGGTATGGAACCCTGGGAAACCAATAGTTAAGAGGCAGACAGTGGAAAAAGGACTTGGCAAAGGAAACTAAAAAGTAATTTAAGGAGAATCAGTGTAGAGAGTTGTCATGGAAATAAAAGGGAATGTGAGAAAAGAGCCCCATTATTTTTTTAAAAGACACTATGCTGGCTGTTTTTGTACATTCTTTTAACTTTTATGGCAACACTGTGAAATATATAATATCTCATACCAACAGTATAAGTAAATAAGCAACTGAACTCAAGTGAATCTAGTACTTTCTTTGTACATTTACATGGGAGGAGAGGATTTTAATGCAGAAGTCAACAGAGGAAAGGCAACCTCATAAGTAAACGTATCTGGTGTATTTGAAGATTACAAGGTAATTTACAACTTTAGCAAGAGTAGTGTTAGTGAACCTGTTATGTTAGTGAACATAAGCAAACACTTTTTCTTATGTTTTAGTATAAGATTATCAATAATGTCATTTGTCATAATTTGTTATATTTTAAAAAATCATTGATGAAATTTTATAGAAAGTGAACATGGTATAAATTATAGGGATTAACACATAGTTACATAGTTCTAAATTGATTTTTAATTTTTTGAATTTAGGTTCATACTTTAGAAACAAAAGATCTTATGCAGAAAACACATTTGCATCAAATTTTACTTTTGGTACAAGCTCTTCTTCTGCACAAGACAATAATTATCTTCGAACACTAAAAACTCCATTGTCTGCTGGAAATCCCCAGAGGTCAAGTTATAAAAGTTGGACACCGCAAATGGGATATTCAGGTAAAATGAGTGGAATATTGGCCTAGATGACTTTTTGAAACTTTAAAAGGTTTTAAAATTATAAATTAGGATGGCTAAATTCATTTGAAGTGTTTTAAAACTGATATGAATGATTGAAAGATAAATACATTAGTTTATCCAATCTGTAATTTGAGACAAGGTTAATAAGCCTACGTAGTTTCGATAGTTTGTTAATAAATGCAGGTCTACATTATTTTAACCTTTCTGCCAAAAAAAGCACAAGAAAGGAAGAGCTGTCCCTTTTATACATAATGTTTGTTTAAATCAAGAAGCTGATTCTGGTTTTAAAAAATACTTAAATTTTAGTTTTTATCTAAATCTACTAGATTTTCTTGAGGGGAAAATGAGTGAAATAGGTCTTAATGTATAAGCATTCCCTAAGGTTCATGTAGTAGAATTTCTTGGTTACTGAGTATGTGCATGTTTTCATGTGAATTTACAAGAGTATGACAAATTGTTTTTCTGAGTGTTTGTACCAGCTACAGTCTTACTAGCAATTAATGAGAGTTCTTGTTGTTCTACATCCTTCTCAACATTTGGTATTGTCAGATTTCTTAAAATGTTTACCATTCTAACAGTTGTAAAATACTACCTTGTAGTCTGAATTTGCATTGTTCTAGCTGTAAATGAGGTTGATTATCTTTTTGTATACTTTTGGTCATAGCTCTCATTTTCTGTGAAATGATTGTTTATGTTCTTTACCCATTTTTCTTTAGGGTTATTTTCTGGATATGGAGAACTTATTTATATATTCTGAATACTAAATTTTTTGATGATTACATGTTTATAGCTTCCATAGGTTTGTAGCTTGTCTTCCTCCTTTCTTTGTGATGTCCTTTGATGAACAGAAAATCTTAATTTTTTAGTAAATGTTCTGTATCTGCTTGAAAAGAATGTGTTTTTTTTTATAATTATATATATATATTTCTACTAGGTAATTTAAAAAATTGTGTTGGTTAAGTCTGTATCACTACTGACTTTTTTATAAAGATATGTTAACATCTCCCATTATGATTGTGAACTTATCTATTTCTCTTGTAGTTCTTGTAATTTTTTGAGTATTTTGAAGCTATTTTAGTAGGAATATGAAAATTTAGTAGTGTTATGTCTTTTTAAAAAATGGCTTTCTTTATCTCCAGATATGCTTTTTGCCTCAAAGTTTATAGCAACTCTTGTTTGTTAGTGCTTATGTAGTATATATTTTTCTTTCTTTCTTTTTTTTACTTCCACACTTTTATGTAGGCAAATGGACTCAAATAAACATTTGCCACTTTTGCTACGCTAACCTTTTTGGATTCTTATATTTTGTGGTATACACCCAAAAATTCCTCATTATCTTTCTGCTCTTTAATATTTTTAAAAGGTAAACTGAAAGTATCAGTGTGACTTCATGGTGTATTTTTTAACAACTCTATTAAGATATAATTGGCATACAATAAACTGCACATTTAAAGGGTATAATTCACCTGGGCTGGTGTGGCTCAGTGGATTAAGTGCCAGCTTGTGAACCAAAGGGTCCCCAGTTTGATTCCCAGACAGTGCACATGCCTGGGCTGAGGGCCAAGTCCCCAGTAGGGGGTGCGTGAGAAGCAACCACACATTGATGTTTCTCTCTCTTTCTCCCTCCCTTCTCCTCTCTCTAAAAATAAATAAATAAAATCTTTAAAAAAAAGTAAAACAAAACAAAAAAATTGAAATGTATAATTTGACATATCCTGACATATAAACACAGGCATTCCTGAAACTCTTCAGTGCTTTTAAGAAGTTTTTTTGTATTTTTGTATGGATATTTGTTATGTTTATGTTTTGTATAGTTTTTATATATATTTGTATATTTATATTTTGTCTAGGAATTTGTTGTTTTCACTAAGACAATTGTTTTAAATAATTTTGTCTACCATTACTAGAAGCAGAAATCAGAATTTTTCATTTTAGAAGAGTCAAATTTATCAATCTTTTCTTCTATGATTTCTGCTTTGTGTATATTGATTAGGAACTTTATCCCTGTCCCAGGACAGAAAAATATTTGCCTATATTTTCTTCTAAGAGTTTTGAAGTTTTACATTTTATATTTAAGTTTTTAATGTACCTAGAATTGATTTTTTATTTATAATATGAGGTAAGAAGTCAGTTTCATTTTTCTCATAGAGATAATTTCTTGAGAATATTCTCTTGACTATTCTCTTCTCATAGTCTATTTCTTGACTATCCTTTCTCCACTGAGTTGGAATGCCACCTTTATGGTGTATCATAGGCCCAAATATTTATGCTTCTGTTTCTACCTCTCTGTTAACCTCCATGAGTCATTATGTCTATCTCTGCCTATATCACACTGTCTTTAGTTTTATATTACATCTTGATATCTACAAGGGCAGCCTTCCCACTTTTATTCTCCACTGACCATATTTTCTTCTTCAGAAGAGTCTTGACTCTTCTTGTCCCTTTGCTATTCCATATAGTTTTTAGGTCAATTTATCAAGTATCACAAAAAACACATTGAATTATTAATTGAAATTGTATTTGTACTAACCAATAGATCCTTTTAGAGAGAACTAAAATATTGAGTATTTCATCCATGAGTATGGATACCTCTCCACTTAGGCTGTGTATAATGTTTTTCCACAAAGTTTTATAATTTTCTACATACAGATTTTATATATGTTTGTTAGATTTATTTCTATGTTCCTGAAAATTTTTTAGAATTGTATTTTATTGATTATGCTATTATAGTTGTCCTGATTTTCCCCCTCCCCCGCCCTCCACCCAGCACCTACTATCCCTCAGGCAATACATACACCATTGTTCATGTCCATGATCATGAATATGATTTCTTTGGCTACTCCTATACTGTACTTTACATCCCCATGGCTATTCTGTTACTACCTTTTTGTACTTCTTAATCCCCTCACCTTTTTACCCATTTCCCCACAACCCCCTCCCATCCGGCAACCTTCAAAATACTCTCTGTATCCATGATTCTTTCTCTGTTCTTATTTACTTAGCTTTTAGATTCACTTGTTGAGAGATATGTGTTTATTGCCATTTTATTGTTCATAGTTTTGATCTTCTTTTTCTTAAATAAGTCCCTTTAGCATTTCATATAATAATGGTTGGTGATAATGAACTCCTTTAGCTTTTTCTTGTCCGGAAAGTTTTTTATCTGCCCTTTGATTCTAAATGATAGCTTTGGTGGGTAGAGCAATCTTGGCTATAGGTCCCTGCTTTTCATGACTTTGAATATTTCTTGCCAATTCCTTCTAGCCTGCAAAGTTTCTTTTAAGAAATCAGCTGACAGTCTCATAGGAACTCCCCTGTAGGTAATTAGCTGCTTTTCTCTTACTGCTTTTAAGATTCTCTCTTTACTTTAACCTTTGGCATTTTAATTATGGTGTGTCTTGGAGTGGTCCTATTTGTATCCATCTTGTTTGGGACTCTCTGTCAGTCACTGACTCTCTTACAGTCAGTGACTGTATTAGTTTCCTAGGGTTGCTATAACAAAATACTACCGACTTGGTGGTTTAAATAAAAATTTACTTTCTCACTGTTCTAGAGGCTAGAAGTTCAAGGTCAAGATATCAGAAGATTGCCTTTATTCTGAGGCCTTGCTCTTTGGCTTGCAGATAGCTATCTTCTGGTCTCTTTACATGGCACCCCCATTCTGGCGTGTGTCCTAATCTTCTAATTTTATAAGGACACCAGTCATATTGGATTAAGGCTCATCCTAATGATCTCATTTAACCTTACTGATGTCTCTAAAGGCCCTATCTCCAAAAACAGAGTGTGAAAAAGGTTTACAGTTATTTGCATGGAAAATAATACAGTAATTGATAAATACTACAAGAATAAAGTCTACATGTTGTGTACTCACACCTATAAACCTACTTTTTTCCCTACCTTGTATAGTCACATTCTGAATTCAGTCACTATCCCAGTGAACCAAATAGTTAGGACTTCAACATATGAATTTGTGTGTGTGGGGGCACAGTTTATCCCATGATAGCCATATTGTTGTATTATTATTTCTAATAGCTTTTGGCTCCCCAGTGCTGTTAAGGTCAAGTTTAAATATCTTGACATAGTTTATGAGGGACTGCATGATATAGCTTTAGTCAGGTTTTCCAGCTTCATCTCACCTATTTTCTCACTTGTATTATACATTTTAGGCTTTCTAAACTTTTTTCTGTACCTTGAACATGGTACTCTCTTTTGTATATGCTCTTTCCTTTGCTTAGAAAACTCTTTCTTCCCCTCTTCATATAGTCAACTCTTATTTTTTTTTTGGTTGCTGTAGTATTCTATTAATCTCTACTATTGGAACACTGAGAAGTGCCTCAGAGTTCCCTGGGTTCCATACATAGTCCACTTTGCCTCGAGTGTGTGTAGCAACATGATTTCCCACTGGTAATCAGGATTGACCACTTTACTCATAGATACTCTCCAACCTTTTGTTGCTTGTTGGTTCAGCAGTATAAATAAAGAGCTCAAAATGGCCAGGTGGGAATTTCATCTTCCAAATCAGTGGAACCATGGTTGTGTCATCTGGTGGAAGCAACAACCTTGTGAAAAGTAAGATCTCCAAACCAGCAGAGCTCAAAGTTGCCAGGATGGGAAACAAAAATGCTTAAGGTGGGCTAGTAGGTATGATAGTATGAGTAGTCATTCCCACTTCTACCTTTTAATTCCCAGACCTGTGTATTCTGGCTCTGAGAAATACAGCATCTTTTAATGGTCTCTGATTCAAAATATATGCAGCATTTTCTAAGACAGAACCCATTCTTTAAGGTTGTTGTACTCCAGTTGACACCATAATGGGTTTTAAAAGGCCATTATGCCATTCTGCTAAGCTCAACATTTCTGGGTGGTGGGATATGTGGTAAGATCAGTCGATTCAATGGGCCTGGGCCCACTGATGTATTTCCTTTGCTGTGAAATGAGCTCCTTGATCAGATGCATCACTGTACTGAACACCTTGATGGTGGATAAGTCATACTATGAATTCTTACATGGTAATGCTGGTTAAAGCATTGTGGGCAAAGAAGGGAAATCTAGAGCCTGTGTTTGTTCTAGTGAGGACAAATATCTTCCCCCTCCATAATGGAAGAAACCCAGTGTAATGAATCTAAGGTTATGGGCTGTCTTCCTGGGGAGTGGTGCTTTTGGGGTTATTTAATGTTGATTTCTAATGTTGGCAGATTAGGCATTCAGCAGTGTTATTAACCAGGTCAGCTTTGGTAAGAAAAAATTCATGTTGAGCCCATGCATAGGCACCATCCTTGCCACCGTGGCCACTTTGATTATGGGTCTATTGAGAAAATACTGGGGTAGCTTGGAAAAGAAGCTACTTGATATCCACAGAGCAGATCATTTTGTTCACCTGACTATTAAGAGTGTCCTCTACAGTGGATGCCCTTTGATGAGTATTCACAGGAGACACAAATATTTTCAAAGTTTATGCCCATTCTAAGAGATTTATCCACATACTTCTTCCTCAGCTTCCCTTGTCACCATCTTCTAATCCTGTTCCTTCCAAATCTTTAACTGTCTAGCTAGACATTAGAAACTGCTTATGAATGAGTCTAAATTCGTACTCCTGGTTATCCCTCATTCCAGACATGTGGACAACTAAATATACTGCTTAAAATTCTGTTCAAATGAAAGATCAAAATGAATAAAATAAGTAAAAAAAAAAAGGGGGGGGAGTAGTAGTATCTTTTAAAAATATTTTATTTCTAGAGAGGGGGGAAGGAGGGAGAAAAGGAGGGAGAAAAACATCGATTGTTTACCTCTTGTAGGTGCCCCCATTGGGGGCGGGGAATTGAACTGGTGACCTCTCACCCTGCAGGATGACACCCAACCAACTGAGCCACACCAGTCAGGGCAGCATATCAGATATCTTAATGAAGGAGGAGTTTCTTAGAAGAAAAGCAATGGAAGAAATTATAAAGAAAAATATTGTCTATACAAAGAAGAAATCTCTGAGATATGAAAAAATTAATATTAGTAGTAACTATCAATTACTCTGATTGAGTTACAGAATACTCATAAAAACAGATTGAAAACTTTAAGACCTAGTAAAAATTGTAGCCCTGACCAGGTAACTTGGTTAGGGTATCATTCCGATATACCAAGGTTGCAGATTTGATCTCCAATCAGGGCTCAAGAAGAAGTAACCAATGAATGCATAAATAAGCGGAACAACAAATCTATGTTTCTCTCTCTCCCTCCCCCTCTCCCTCTCTCCTTCCCTCCCTTTCTTTTTCTAAAATCAATAAATAAAAAATTAAAAAGACCTAGTAAAAATTGTATTAAAAGGGTATAAACATCTCAAAAGAAAATATTGAAAGCAAAGGGGTGTGTTAAATTATATTCAATTTTTGTAGTCATTTAAAAAATAGAAATTTAAGCTCACCTAAACTAGTCAATAATAATAATAATACACTTTAGAGGTAATTTTTGGTAAGGATACTATAAAATTGTTTTTTCTCATACTGCTGATGAAATTAAAAATTGGTATAATTCTGAAAAGAAAATTGGTAATATATTTGAGATCCTTAAAAATGGCAGTGTTCTGGGCATGCAGTGCAATATACATGATGTATCATAGGATTTTACACTTGAAACCCATATAATTTTATTAAATAATGTCATTCCAATAAATTTAATAAAAATAAAGATGGTGGTTTTCTATTATTTGGCTTCCAAGGATCCACTTTAAGCAAATAATAAGAGACCAAGAAAAAAGCTTTATGCACAAGGATGCTCATTATACAGGGTGGGGCAAAAGTAGGTTTACAATTGTGTGGTAAACAATACAATAATTAATAAATAATAATACAAGAATAAACTCTGTTTCACATCCAACTGTATACCTACTTGGCCACACTCTATAGTATTATAGGATTGTTTATGACAGAGATAACTGTAAATGTTTTTGTAGAAGTTTAAAGGAAATGTCTGCTGAGAGTACTGAAATTTCCATTGGAACTTGGTATTATTTTACGGTTACAAATAGGAAGGTCATATTGTATTGCAGAGCTTAAACTGACTCCTATGGATGTAATGTGAACTCAAATCACAATGTATAACATGGCTTTCATGGCAAAAGAATTCTGAAAACTAGATACAGTAGATTTTTACATTATTAAGTTGACTACTAACCAAGATAGAATAAATGTGTAAGTAATTTTGTATACATATTAGTAAAAGACTAGCAAAGAAAAAAGTAATCTAGGTCAGGGGGAGAAAGAAGGGATGAAAACGGATGAAAAGGGGTGCATTGAAATGTTGACAAGGGAATAAAAGAAATTTTACTTTGAAAATAAAATTTCAGGTATTTTTAGTCTGACATATTTATCTATGAATAATGCTCTATATTTAAGTAATTTCATATATTTTACAAATACTTTTATATTATTACATTCTTACAACAACTTTGTGTAAAAGATTTTGTATTTTCAGTTTGTAAGTGAAGAAATAGTAGTTTCAGAAAGGTCAAACAACTTACCTGTTTATAAGGCACATATCTCAAAATCAGTTATATTCATATATGTAGTGATTAAGAGCACTGGATCTGGAACCAGGATTCCTGAGTATAAATTCTGATTCTGCCAGTTCCATCTGTGGCTCAGTGCCCTTATAAGTAAATGGAGAAAATAATGATGTCTGTTTGGTAGAACTGTTGTGACAATGAAATGAATTAATCCAAGTACAGAACTTAGAACATTCTTGGCACATTAAGAAATAAGATATTTACCATTACACAGATATCTTGAAATTGGAGTTTATAGTTATATAATGTTTTATACTTGAGTTAGGCAGGGCACTTATTCCATTATGTTTTGTGATTGATGACTATTTATTATGAAATAATTTGTTCAAATTCATATAGCTTTTAAACGATAGAGTAACATAAATAATCTAGGTTTTTTGATCCTGAATTCAGTGTTCCTTTTATGACTACATTTTAATAAAATGCAAAATAAGACCATGTGTAAATTTGTTATTTCCGAATGTGAATGAAGTTTAAGTTTTGGGAAAACACTGTGAAAATTAATACTTCTATTTCGTGTGAATGTAAAAAATTTATTTTTTGATGACTAAAAGAGGATTATTTTCTTGGATATTATTTTCCAAGATATTAATATTAATTTTTGGATATTATTTTCTTAGATACTAATAACCATGTCCTAGACATGAAGCCTTGAGAGCTTGAGAAAAAACTAGAAATTATTATTATGAATATTTACACATAAAAAATTTTTTTTTAGCAGCTACATCCTCATCTACAGTGTCTGCGCACTGCCCATCTGTTATTGTAGCTGTTGTAGAAGGGAGGGGACTTGCCAGAGGTGAAATAGGAATGGCAAGTGTTGATTTAAAAAGCCCGCAAATTATATTATCTCAGTTTGCAGACAACACAACATATACAAAGGTGAGTATTTATAATCCTAGAAAATGGTTGGTCTAGTGGGCACTAGCCAGATTTTCAAGTCAGTATTTTCCTAATTAGTTTACTTTTTGGTGGAATACAGATGATTCAATATTGTTCTAATGTTAGTCTGAATTAAAATGAAATTGTTCTACATCTGATTTTTTAAATATATCTAGTCCTAAAAATAGTAATTTGCTGTTAAACATTCCAAATTACTGTTAATATTAGTTTCTAAAATTATCTTTAAATTATAATTCCTGGGTTTATGCTAAAATAATATGTGCAATAATGCTGTCTCCACAGTGTTATTACCACTGAACTGTATTTGAATATTATTTTTAAGATTTAAGGAAAATTGGTCTCTTAGATCAGTCATAATTTAATCTCTTCTTGCTTTTACTTCTTATTACTCATGAAGAGAGGCCACTGGTCTGTTGCCATGGGAATTTGTGTGACTTAACAGGTAGAGGTAGTCTGTGCCTACTCTTTATATTCTGAAAAGCATACTACCTTCATCTCTGGGCATTTCAGATTTTTATGCAACTTAAAAAGAATAGGAAGTAGTTTTTATAAAACAGGAATTTTAGTCAAGCTGATTAAGAATTTCTGTGTTCTATGGTAGTTCTCAGAAATGTACCTTATATTCTGAAAAGCATAAGTCATAAAGCAAATGTTTCTCATCTCTGATTTTTTTACTTTTTAACTTCTAAGCTGTACCGGTAAGGTCATATTGATTGTATAACCATAGTTACTATTCTGAATGTTTTTCATAGAGATGGATAAAATGTTGATTAGAAAAATTTCTTTAAAAAATTTTAGGAATACATATTTGATAAATTCAAATTAATTTTTGAACTTAGAGATGTTACAAATTATTGTGAGTAAAATATAGCTTATGTTTATGTTAATTTATATTTGTAATTGTATAGGATATGTGTTTAATACACAATCATTAGAAATACCTTTTAATTGAAATATATAATTAGACAGTTATAATTTTATATTTTATGAAGTAATTTTAACTCTCCCAAAAAATGAAACTTTTTTATTTTAGAGAATCCTTAGTTTACATTTAAGAAATTGATTATTCAAATGATTTTAGGTGATCACTAAACTCAAAATTTTATCACCTTTGGAAATAATAATGTCAAACACTGCTTGTGTTGCGGGGAACTCAACTAAATTGTTTACTCTGATCACAGAGAATTTCAAGGTAAGTGATTTTATTCTCAATAGTAACATTTAAGATCCTTATCTAAAATCCAGTATTTCCATGACTGGTGTGGCTCAAAAGATTGAGCACTGGCTTGCAAACAGACAAGTCACCAGTTTGATTGTCATACATCAATGTTTCTCTCCCTTCTTTTCCTCTCTCTCTAAAAATAAATAAATAAAACCTTTAAAAAATCCATTTCTTTGAATAGCTTTATAGGGTGGGGCAAAAGTAGGTTTACAGTTGTGAGTATGTGACAAAGTTTACTTTTGTATTATTACTTATTAATAACTATATTAGTTTCCATACAAACAACTGTAAACCTACTTTTGCCCCACCCTAAAAGATGCACTAAATCCAAATTCTAATCTAATGAACTATCAATGCATTTAATAAAAAGGACAGGGAGTCCACTGATTTGACTTTACACCTTGATCTACTTTAAATAAAAGGAAAAATATTTTAGGTATAAGGACGTTTCTTAGATTATACAGGAAGCAGACCCTTAGAGAAAGCATGGATTTCTTTAGGTCTGGCTTCCTGGAAACTAGCTACTAAGCTAGCAGGCTAGTTGAAATCGAAGTTCTTGTTTTTTAGGGAATACCAGCTATCAGCAAATACTTTTCCTTTAGAGAATTTGATCTATATTATAGAATTATTTCAGCTTCCCCTGGTAGTATGGATCACCTCACAATTAGCTTACTACTTTATCCTCTATCTGTGGGGCTGTGACAGGTAAGTGCTCTGGAATCCTATCCAGCCAGTGCACTTTCCCTTAGTGAGGCCATTTCCACCATGTATTATGATTTATTTCATCCCTTTAGCAAATCTCCCTTTTTTTTAAATTAAAAAATTTTTTTTTTTTTTTAGTGGAAGTGGGGCAGCATTGCAGTTGGAATAATTCTGAATCAAGTAGGCGGCATTGTAGTTGGAATAATTCCTGATGAGTGCAAATTATTTTTACAATATACTGTATTTTGTTATGTTTTTAGACTCATCTTCAATAGTTTTGGAATCAAGCTGAGATTTAGGGTCCAATGAGTTCTTTATTATTCTTAATATACAGAATCTGCAGTCATGTAAGATTTTTTCTGATCCTCTTAGAGATCCTATGTAGTAGCTTTGCTGTGTTTGACTCATTGCTAAAAATGGTCCCTCATGTAAATCTGTTGTCTCCATTAGACAAGTCTCTTCCTCTGTTGTTTCTTTCATTCATTATTTTTTAACTTCTTTCCATCACCCTTATTAATGCATACCTCTCCAACTTCCATTATTTTTTTGATTAAGCATTCTAAGTATTTGGTTATAAATAACCAACTTAAACTAGCTTAAGTAAAAAAGGAAATTTATTGGCTTATATGAATTGGAAGCCAAATATTTGGATAGATGGTATCCATACTGTCATCCCCACCACCATCTTTTTGTCTGCTGATGAATTACCTCTACAGGGGTGTCAAACTCATTTTCACCAGGGGCCACATCAGCCTCATGGTTGCCTTCAAGGGCCAAATGTAATTTTAGAACTGCATGAATATAACTATGTAACTACTCTTTAACCAGGAGCAAGGAGCTTGGTGCTGCCACCGGGTAGAAACAAGGTGTCGGGCTGGATAAAACAAGGTGGAGGGCCAGATTCGGCCCATGGGCCTTGTGTTTGCTGCCTGTGCTCTATGAGGTCTAAGAAGATTGCTTGTGGTTCCAGGCTAATTCGTCTCAATTAAACCAACTCAGAGAAAAAAAAAATTTATTCTTCTAGTGTTCACATGTGAATTCCAGGGAGGGACCTTGACTGGTTCTGCTTTGTTCATATTCTCTCATGTTAAGCCAAACACTGTTTCTGGAGATAGAGACACTGTAATTGACTAACTCCAGGTCATGTACTTATTGCTGTAGGGCACAGATCACTGTAATTAACAGTGTTACCACAACTGTGTGCAACATAGGATAGACAAATCCTCCAAAGGCAAAAACAACAGCTATTCACTATACTTAGGTATAAGGCAAGGTAGCATAGTGCTTAAGAATAGAGGAGTTGGATGGTTTTGGTTGCAAATCCTGATTTTAAGTGACTTTGTACAAGTCAGCTTACCCTCTTTGAGCTTCAGTTTTTTTCATCAGTAAAATAGGGACAAATAACAATATCTACCTTCTTCAGAGTCGATTAATATTATATAGGGCTATCCTAAATTATCTTGTCAATAAGATTACATTTGGGCAGGGTCCTGAATGGAATGAGGTAGCAAGTCATGGAACTATTTGGGGTAAACGTATTACAAGTAGAAGGAAAAATCAATATTATTATTATCATTATCACCACAGTTATCTTTATTAAATAAGAAGGAAAATGAAGTAGAAGGAACATTGGCTTTGTAAGTCAAAGATTCTAAATTCAAGTTTTAGCTCTGATGCATATCAACTGTATGCTAAAAAAGTGATTTGACTTTTCAGAATTTTACTTGTATGGAAATTGTAGTTAATAAGACTTAGGTCATAGGGTTGTTGTCTTCACAATGACAACTGTTAAAACATTCTTGGCACATAAAAAACTACCTATCTGTTTACAATTCTTTTCAGTCTTAAAGATTTTTAACAGTCCAGTGTTGGATTACCTTTCTTACCTATTTTTATTCAAAGTAGTATACCTTTTGCTCTACAACTTTATACTGTTTTTTTCTTTTTTTAAAACAAATTCCATTATTGACTTTATTTTAAATAAATTAAATTCACCTCATGTAGACATCATTTCATAGATTTGACAGGTGGAATTGATATTTTCATCTTAGTCAACTAGCACATGATAAGTATGTCAGGTTGATTGTAAAATTTTGTGTGATGATGTTGCTGTAGAATAAAATTACTAGAAGGAAGAGACTCTTGTATTTATTTTTTATTATGGTTCCTAACATATTCAGTTAAATTTCATGTGAATATGCTCTAATAAGAGCTATAGGCTGTACTGTTGTTCACTTAGCAAGACAGATAATCATTCTTTTTTTTGTAAATAGCAAAACTTTTTAATTCTGGAAAACATTAAAAATAAACTTTATATAATATTTAAGCTATGTAAAGACATGTGTTTAACAAACCAGTTTTGGGCAAGTGCATGAAAGTAAATATGTATTTATTATTTTAAAAAATATTTATTTATTTATTTTCAGAGAGAACAGAAGGTAGGGGAAAAGAGAGGGAGAGAAACATTGGTGCAAGAGATGTCAATTGGTTGCATCTCACATGCCCCCAGCTGGGGCCCTGGCCCACAACCAAGGCATGTGCCCTGAGTGGGAATCAAACCAGCTAGCTTTCAGTTCATAGACTGTCTGTCACTCAGTCCTCTGAGCCACACCAGTCAGGGCTAAAATTTCATTTTGAAATTAAAATTTTTTTTTCAGAATGTAAATTTCACTACTGTCCAAAGAAAATACTTCAATGAAACAAAAGGATTAGAGTACATTGAACAGTTATGCATAGCAGAGTTCAGCACTGTTCTGATGGAGGTTCAGTCCAAGTAAGTTATAACTTAAGGAAAGTTATAAATGTTTATTTAGTGTAAGTTCTACAAGGGTAATATCTTTTATCTGATTTGTTTTCTGCTATATTTATACCACCTAGAAAAGTGCTTGGCTTATAATATAACTGAATAATTATTGAAATAGTTAACTAAAGTTTGCACACAAGGCATATCTTGCTAACTTTATTTATATAGAATCTCTCCAAATTAGTCATAATCTATTGCCCCCTAGTGGTTGTTGCTCACTTTACTTGGGAGTCAACAGCTCAAGTAGCTATTGTAAACTAGAAATGTGAGGGCACAGATGTCAAATACATTTAAAGTTTTGTTCTGTTACTTCGTACCTTTACTCCAGAAAGCTTCAGTATGAGACAGGGAATGATATTTTTGGAAAGGATACTTCTTAGAACATGCTAAATAGATACTTTCTCTGAGCCAGGTTGGACTACTTATTTACTCAGTTAATCACAATGACTATCCTCACTGGGATTATAATGGACTTTCCTATGCCTTGGAACCTCCTGACTAAAGTTCAGAGTCTTTAAACATTATCTGAATACTTATAATAGTGCATCAAAGATGACACAAATTCCCATTGAATATTGACTTCTAACACATGGTTTATTGGTATCTAATATCCCTTAAGTGTTAGACTTCAGAAAATTGTCTATTTTTATCAAGTTTTATGTTTTGGAGGTAATTTACATAGTTATCAAAAATTAGGGGCACTTAGTATATTTTTTTTTCTTTGGATTTGAGTAGTGTTATACAAATACTTATAATTTTACTAATATTAAGATAAAATACATGTTTCATTTTATAGCAGTTTTTTTTTTGTTCTGAAGATTTATAGTGGTGTATCATTGGTCATGTTACAGGTATTACTGCCTTGCAGCTCTTGCGGCTTTATTAAAATATGTTGAGTTTATTCAAAATTCAGTTTATGCACCCAGATCGCTGAAGATTTGTTTTCAAGGTAGTGAACAGACAGCCATGATAGATTCATCATCAGCCCAAAACCTTGAATTACTAATTAATAGTCAAGACTGTAGGTAAGATCACCCATTTTTTCTTATAAAATATGTCAGTATATTTTATTATATCATGTTTTATATGAATAGTTACTTTATATTTTTAAAAATTGATGGAGAGTGATTGCTGTTGTTGCTGGACTGTTCAGATGTTTCACCAAAATCAGGTATTAAAAAGATACTTGTGGAAATGGCATAAGCATCATGGTAGAGTGAGAGGACTCCATTGTTTCTTCCCTTAAACTGATAGCAAATCAGACAACTATAACTTAACGAATGATCCCCTGTTCAGCATACAAACATGCCTGAAAGATCCATGTATTGGGACATCTGAAGTTGAGCATTTTTGTGATGCAAGATGGGGAATGGACAGGTTTATAGCAGCTGCTGATGCAGTTCAGAGCTTACTGTAACTCCAGTGAGAGCAAGAGCAGAGAAGTCAGGCTTCACACTGTGGCCTGGAGCATAAGACAGGCAGAAACTGTTTCTTTTTGAGTAAAGGTATATCAGTTTCCACTGTGGGAAAGCCAGGTAAAAGTGGCTGGGAAACTTTAAACAACACAGCAGTGCTGGCCACCATTACTGGAAGGGGGACAGAGCTGCAAGTTGCAAATTTGCTCCCTGCCACCAACTTCCTGGCAGAGCCTGGTAAAGAAAGGTGGGATGCTTTAAATAACTCAAAAGGGTGACAGCCATTACTGGAAGTGGGCAGAGCCACAGGATGGCAAGCTTACTCCCTCCACCCAACACTCCCCAGCAGAGCCTGGTGAAGAATTCTGAGACTCCCCAAGCAGCATAGCAAAAAAGAAAGTACCTTACCTATGAACCTATTAAATTGTTGAGAGGAAAATAGATTCTAAACAAGAAAAGAGTTTACTACATCAAATGCTATGAATAACAAAGGTAAGTTAGGAATACAGAATAAAAATGAAAACCAGACAGTGATTTAAGATTTTATTTATTTATTTTTAGAGAGAGGGGAAGGGAGGGAGAGAAACATTGATACATGATGCCAATCACACACCCCCAGCCAGGGACCTAGCCCGCATCTCAGGCATGTGCCCTGACCAGGAATCAAACCTACAACATTTCAGTTTGCAGAGTGATGCCCAACCCACTGAGCCACAATGGTCAGGGCCCAAACAATGATTTAAATGACAGGGAATTCAATACTGCAGTTATGAAACAAAAGGATTAGAGTACATTGAACAGTTATGCAACATAGCAGAATTCAGCACTGTCCTAAAGAACAATATGATACATAAGATAACACAGAAAGGCAGTTCAATGAGCTCAGGAATAAAATTAATAAACAGAAGAAATACTTAAAAGAGATTGAAACTATAAGAAAGAACCAACCAGAAATTCTGGAGCTGAAGAACTCAATAAAGGACATGAGGTATTCACTAGAGAGCATTGAAAATAGAGTAAACTAGATGAAAGACAGAGAAACCTAGAAGTGACCCAGGAGGAAGGTGAGAATTAAGAGTAAAAAAAATTTAAGAACTGTCTGACTCCATTAGAAAGAGCAACATAAGGATAATAGGTATACCTGAAAGAAAAGAGAGGCAGTAGAGAACAGAGGGCCTACCCAAAGAAATCATAGCTGAGAATTTCCCAGGCCTGTCAAAAGAGTTGGACTTTAGAATAGAGGAAGCTAGCAGAATACCTAACTATATCAATGCAAAAGGACCTACAAGACATTTTATTCAGACTGTCAAAAATCAATGAGAGACATGACCTGCGTGGCTCAGTTGGTTAGGCATTGTCCTGCAAACCAAAAGGTCACCAGTTTAATTCCTGGGCAGGGAACATGCCTGGGTTGCAGGTTCATTCCATGGTCATCAGGTACATGAGGCAACTGATTGATGTTCCTGTCCCTTTCTTTCTCTCTATCCTTTTACCTCACTCTAAAAATAAATAAAATCTTTTAAAAAAAGTCAATAATAAAAAATTCTCAGAACATTTGAGATCTTGCTTTCTGGCATATGTTGTCAGTTTGGCTGAAAGACCCTGAATAGCCAAAAGCAGTTCTTAGAAAAAAGAAAAAAGCTAGAGCTATCACACTCCTTGACTTTAAACTATACACAAAGCTACAGTAATCAAAAGAATATGATAGTAGCAGAAGGAAAAAAACAGCAGTATGGAATAGTATTGAGAGCCCCAAAATAAATCCAAACATAAACAGACAACTGATTTTTGACAAAGGAGCCAACAACATATAATGGAGAAAGAAAGTCTCCTTAATAAATGGTGTTGGGAAAACTGGAAACCCACATGCAAAAGAATAAAACTAGATTGCTGTCTGTCACCCTACATAAAAATTAACTCAAAATGGGTTAAAGACGTGAATATAAGATCTGAAACAATAAAACACATTGAAGAAAACATAGTGACTAAACTTATGGACTTAGCCTCAGTTGGGTTTTTGTGAAGTTGACCTCAAAGGCAAGGGAAGTGAAAGCAAAAGTAAATGAATGGGACTACACCAAACTAAAAAGCCTCTGCACAGCAAAAGAAACCATCAACAAAACAAAAAAGCAACTGACTGAATGGGAGAAAATATGTGCAAATGATAACTCTTATAAGAAGCTAATATCCAAAATATGCAAAGAAGTCATACAACTCAAATAACAAAATAACCAACAGTCCAGTTACAAATATGCAGAATACCTGAATAGATACTTTTTCAGGAAGCCATACAGATGGCTGTCAGATAGATGAAAATATGCTCAACATCACTAGTCATAAGAAAAATGCAAATCAAAACAATGGGATACCACCTCACACCTCTTAGAATGACTGTTATCAATAAGACAAGAAATAAGTATTGGAGAGGATGTTGAGAAAAGGGAACTCTTGCACACTGCTTGTGGGAATGCCAGTTGGTGGAGCCACTATGGAAAATATTCAAGGTTCCTCCAAAAATTAAAAATAGAACTTGCATATGACCCAGTAATTTTACTTCTGGATATGTACCCAAAGAAACCCAAACACGAATTCAAAAAGATATATGCATCCTTATGTTCATTGCAATATTATTCACAGTAGCCAAGACTTGGAAACAACCTAAGTGTTCTTTCATGGGTGGTTGGATAAAGAAGATACTATTTAGCCATAAAAAGATGAAATATTACCATTTTCAACAGCATGGCTGGGTCTTGAGAAGGTAATGGTTAGTGAAATAAATCAGATGGAAAAGGACAAGAACAGCATGAAACAAAACAAACAAGCAAACTTATAGATGCAAAAAACAGAATGATGGTTACCATAGGGGAAACCATAGATAGGAGGGAGGGCAATGAGTAAAATGTATCAAATATATGGTAAAATAAGGAGGCTAGACTTCATGTGGTAGGCACACAGTAGACTCTACAGACATCATATTATACAGGTATACATTTGAAACTTATATAATGTTATTAACCAATGTTACTCCAATAAATTAAAAATATATTTGTACTAAACAGCAACAAAAAATCCCAATGCAAAACTAGGCAAAGGATTTGAATAGATTTTTCTCCAAAAAAGATACACAAGTGGCCAATAAGCACATGAGAAGATGCTCAATATCAGTAGTCATTTGGGAAGTGTAAATCAAAACTACAATTATGTACTACTTCACACTCAGCAGGATGGTGATCATCAAGTAAATGCAAAATAAGTGTTGGTTACACTTTGAAGACATTGAAAACCTGGTTCATTGCTTGTGGGAATGTAATTTGGTACAGTCACTTTGGAAAACAGTATGATGGTTCCTCAAAAAGTTATGCATAGAATTACCATATGATCCAGCAATTCTATTTCCAGGTATGGACCTCAAAAAATTGAAAGCCAGGAATCAAACAGATACTTGCACATCAGTGTTTATGGCAGCATTATTCACAGTAGCCAATAGGTGGAAATAAACCAAATGTTCACCAATGAATGACAATGAATAAACAAAATGAAATGTGTACACACAATGGAATATTAGCTTTAAAAAGAATGAAATTCTGATATATGCCACTGGATATATGAACCTTGAAAAACATGCTAAGTGAAATAAGCCAGACAAAAGGAAAAATGTTTCCTGATTTCCCTTATATAAGGTACATAAAATGAGGTACAGAATGATTAGGAGATTACCAGAGGCCAGGGGAAATGGGGAATGGGGAGTTACTCTTTAATGGATATAGAATTTCTATTTGGGGTGTTGAAAAAGTTCTGGAAATGGATAGTGATGGTGGTTATATAACATTGACAGTATTTCTAATGATACTAACTGTGCACTTAAAATGGTTGAAATGGTACATTTCATGTATTATCTTGATTTAAAAAACTGATACGATTTGTACTCTTTTACCAATCTCTCTGTAAGGTTGGGAAAGGGCTCTTGAATTTTTCAGAGAGTAGAAGTTACATGTTCTTTCTCTCTCTCTCACACACACTGATAAATATGTGAGGTGATGACTGTTAACTTGATGGAAGGAATCTTTTCACAGTGCATACATATAGCAAACCATTGCAGTGTATACTTTATGTTACAGTTTTGTTACACCTCAATAAAGCTGAAAAAAGATATTGTAGTTAAAATACCACATAATTAAAATAATTAGCCTAAAATATATACTGGACGTTCAAGGGCTTTGTAGTCTTAGAGAAACTAAAAATAAAATTGGATCTACTTGGTCTGTGGTGTTTGACTAGTTGCTGGTTTTATCGGTGGCCTAAATTGACTCTTAGATTGAATATCAGGATCAAGCCCTAGAATTTACCTCAAAAGGTAATAGGAATATTGATGGTAAACATTAATGAGAGAGAGGGAGAGGTGTAGACAGACACTCACGGACACACACTGTGTTTATCTATTTCATCGTGGGGACCTAAAATAAAATAAAAATGTTACTAGAAGATAATGTAAACAACCTGTGGTGGTGGTATAACAGAGATGTATTAATCTGGGCTCAGTTTGTCACAAAGAATTGATGAACATGTCTTTTCTCTTTAAGGAATGGCAATCTAGAGGAGACACATAGACAGTATCATTAACATGTGTTAAGTACAATAATAAAAGTTTACATTAAAATGTGGGGATCATAGTAAAGAGAGAGTTATTTGGGCTTGGTTATCAAATGGGAATAATGAACAAAGGTGCTCTGAGGGAGGTAATATGTGAGATGTTTTGAAATACAAATAGTTTTCTAAATGAAGAAATAGCAAAGTTTAAGACAGTAAAAAACATTAAGTTGTGAAAGAATGATTTTCTATTTTTTTAAAGATTTTATTTATTTTTGGAGAGGGGAAGGGGGGTATATTTTGAAATATAAATAGAAATTATCCAAATGAAGAAATAGCAAGGTTTAAGATAATAAAAACATTAAGTTATGAAAGAATGATTTTCTTTTTTTTAAGATTTTACTCATTTATTTTTAGAGAAGGGAGAGGAGGAAGAAAGAGAAGGAAGGAGAGACACATCAATGCATGAGAAATACACATCCCCAGCTGGGGACCTGGCCCACAACCCAGACATGTGGCCTGACTGGGAATCAAACTGGTGACCTTTCACTTTGCAGGGCAGTGCCCAATCAAATGAGCCACACTGGTCAGGGTTGAAAGAATGATTTTCAATATAACAATATGGTATATGCAAAGAAACTATAAGCTAGTTAGTATTACTGATTGGTAAATGCAAGGAGGGAGTTAGTAAGCTTAGAGTAGTTGAGTCTTAGCTTTCAGTAATTAAATACAACTTTAGACATGAGTAAAAGGGACAAATTTTAAATGATTATGAATTTTGGTATTAAGATAATTGAAGGGCATAAAGAGTTCTTTAGACAACTGAAATCTTAAACTGCTCAGTGCCAATTTAGAGTCATATTTGTTTAAATATCTCTTTTCACTTCATTGTGCATTATCTTGGCTTCACTTTTGATAACGTGAAATCTCTAGACATTATTTGCTCTTACAAACTTAGAAATCTAGGTCATCTAATTTTATTATTCATTTTAATCATTAAGAACACTTTAGATTTATCTTGGTACTGCTGGTACTGCTTTTAGTAAAGGTAAAAGTAACATTAATATTATATATACTAACTTTAGTTACCCATCAGTGTAGTGTCCTCAACACCTTTTCAGTTCTCCTGTGTCATAATTGTTTAAAATTATAGTCTTTTTAGGAGTTTACATTTATTTGTACCTATTATTCCTTTTCAGCTTAGCAAATAATTAACTTTTCCTATTGCTACATAAAAAGTGTTAAAATAATATGACCTGGAAAAATTATCCTATCATTGAATAACATAGGGTAACATAGAAAGTCAATGACCAAGCCTGATAATTATTACAAAATACTTTATACTCAGTTTTATTTTGTCACATTTCATAGTTAATCATTGTTTATCATCATCAAATATTGCTTGAGTTCCTGTTATAAATTAAATGATATGATATCTTACCTTCAGGAGGTCATATTATAGTTGAAAAGGAGATATTGAGGTCCTTTCACAAACTTGAGTCAGAGTGTCAGGTTAAAAGATGGATATTCTGTACACTGAACTATCTGAATATCTCTAAGGTTTCCGTAGACTTGTCACTTGTTCAGTTCATTGTTTCACCGGTTGATTTCCATGGGAAATGGCAAGTTTGGGTGCACTCCTCACTTCATTTGTTCCTGTAGAAGTCAAGTTCTCAAAAAATATAAAATAAATAAAAAAAAGAAATGTGCCTGTGATGAGAGATCCCAGCCAGGACACAATTTGAGTAGTTCCCTAAGAATTTGTGTAAATTGATATAACAAAAAGAAAATCAGGTACTTGATGACTAAAACTTAAGAATCATTCTTGTTTTCCTTTCTTTTCTAAATCTAGATTCAATTATCAAAATATCCTCTTCATTCAACCTTCAGAGTACATACCAATTCTGGATCATTTCTTATCATTTTCAAGGCTACAACCCTATACCTTCATCATGCTATCCTGGACTACTATAGTAGCCCCTAAGTTGTCTCTCTGTCTTCTTCTTGCTCTCCTACAATTAGTATAGTCTCAACCTAATGGCTAGAGTGTTATGTTTTTAATCCAGAAATAGGATCTTGGAACTCTCCTGCTTAAAACCTTTCATTATCTCACATTACTGTTAGAATATAGTCTAGACTTATTTTTTAAAGGTTTTATTTATTTATTTTTTAGAGAAAGGGGAAGGGAAGGAGAGAAACATTAATCAGTCGCCTCTCACACGCCCTCAATGGGGGAACTGGCCCACAACCCAGTCATGTGTCCCGACCGGGAATCGAACTGGTAACACTTTGGTTTGCAGACCAGCACTCAGTCCACTGTGCCACACCAGTCAGGGTATAGTTCAGACTTTTTACCAAGGCCTACAGGGACTTCTGTGTCCTGGCTTCTATCAGCTAGCTCCAGTGGCACAGCCTTCATGATCATCCAAGCTGGGCACTTAAGGTGTGTGATCCTCTGCCTTTGGGTGGTCTGGTTACACCCTCCTGTTGTAGTTGAGTCTTTATTGCTGTTGGTACATCATTGAGTGGGGTTTATCCCAAGCTGCAACCTCTGTGGAGCACCAGCTATGCAAGGACCAACGTCATGGAGCAAGATTTACTTCAGCAGGGCTCTTGTGGCTGCTGAGTCCATCCCTTGAGTGTGTCATTTGTGGAGATGGTTGGGTGGTGCTTTGATGTGGTCTGAAGCTGTCTGCTGAGTGTGCTGGCCATGGGGCCTCCCAGGAGGTGCAGGCCAAGGTCACCTGCGCCCTGTGTTCCACCAGGGGCCTTCTGGCATGAGTTACAAAGCAATCTGCAGATGGCTGATACTTGTGCTGGGCTTGGAGTTTCCCAGGCAAAGCCAAGCTGTGAACCAAGGCTGGCTGCTGCTAGTGCTGGGCCTGGGGTCACTTAATGAGAGGTACAGGGCACAGTGAGGCAGATGCTACTTGTTTGAAAGATTTTGGGAAAGTCTGAACATGAGCCAAGACAAGCCATTTGTATGGTAAAGCCGCTGGAAACAGCTTGGTTGGGCCCCCACGTTAGGTGGGGCAGGGTCTTAGGAAATCACCAGATGGGCTGAACGTTGCAAGCCAGGTTGATGGAGACTCAGATTTGGCGCCCACCTGCAGGCTCTGTGGGGGGGCGGGGTCTCAGAAAAGGAAAATGACCTCTGCCAGCACTTCAGTCTTCGAGAAAACTGCCCCTCTTGTTCTTGGCCTGATGCCCTATGATTGAGTTCCTTCCCATATGTCCCTCATGCCTTTAGAGCTGCTTCCCCAGTGCTGGAGCTCAGGAGTGAATCCTAGTAAATTTCTGCAGGGGGGTTGGGGATGAGGCCTTTAAAAGGAGCCCCTGGGTATTTAGTGATCCTTTGTCTCACTCAGCCACAGTTCCCACTGGGTTTTATAGCCAGAAGTTATGGGGACTTCTCCTGGCACTAGAACCTTGGCTGGGGGACCAGGTGTCGAGCTGGGAATCCTCACACCTCAGCAAGATGACCCTCCTGAGTTTTATCCACAAGTGTTCCTCGTCTCTGCCCCTCCTACTAGTCTTGATGTAGCTTTTTTTTTCTTTATATCTTTAGTTGTAAGGACTTCTGTTCAGCTAGATTTCAGGCAAATCTAAATGATGGTGGTTCTGCAATTCAGTTGTAATTTTGATGTGGTTGTGGGAAACTGTGAGTACTGTATCTACCTACGCCACCATCTTGACCAGATGCCTGTTTTTCTTTTTTTTTTTAAAAAACAGTTTCTTTAATTGAGATTATTTTTTTCTTTCCTTTGTAATTCTCTAACTTCTTAAATTATAACCAAGTGATTATATTAAATACTCATTTTATCAATGTAAAAGTTCTTTCCCCCTCAAGGATTATTATTTGCTTTTCATCACAGGAAAAACTATATTTTTATTATATAAATTATTATTGATATCATGCTGTTATTGATGGAATGCCATGGGTTAGAACATTTTATGTTAGTCTGAATATTGAGAAAATCATTTGTTTAATTTTTTAAATTTTAATTTTTTTTATTTTTTCCATTACCATTTAGTTATCCTCCCATGCCACCTTCTGCCTCCACCCATACCCCTTCCCCCTCCTCACAGTCACCACACTGTTGTCCGTATCCATGGAAAAACATGTTAACTGTAAGAAGATACTGTTGATCCTTGTTAATCAAAGTGTGGTTTGTGGACTTACAACATATTAGGGAGCTTATTTAAAATGTAGATTCTCAAGCCTCATCCCAGACCTACTGAATCAGAATATGCATGTGATTTGTATGCCTGTTAAACTTTGAGAATCACTACTGTAGATCATAGAATTATTTAATCACAAAGTTAAATTGCAATTTTTTGAATTTTTCTTTTGTATATCTAATGAAAATTTTCAAACTTGTGTTTTCAAAGGAATAATCACACTCTCTTTGGTGTTCTGAATTACACTAAGACTCCTGGAGGGAGTAGAAGACTTCGTTCTAATATATTAGAACCTCTAGTTGATATTGAAACAATTAACATGAGATTAGATTGTGTTCAAGAACTACTTCAAGATGAGGAACTCTTTTTTGGACTTCAGTCAGGTAAATGAATATCCTCTAATTTTATAAATACAAATTATTATAAAATATACAGTATCCTGTAAGGACACCAGTCAAATTAAGGCCCACCCTAATGACTTCATCTTAATTTGATTACATGTGATCCAATTTCCAAGTAAGGTCACATCCACAGGTACTGGGATTTAGGACTTCAAAATATCTTATTGGGGGATGCAATCCAACCTATAACATGAGGTAAAAGAATTGCTCTTGGTACCTGGCTATTTGTTCATTGGCATAGCAGTGCAATATTCTTCTTAAACCTATAGGTGGAAGGGCAAGTTTTATGCATTGTTCCAAATCCAGTTCCTGGTTTCTAGGAGCTTGGGCTGTCTTCCTTATCCCCATTCCCAAACCACTCCTCCTGGTGTTCTGGGAAGCATTTATATCTTGAACAGTTTTTCCTCAGTCCAATTCCCAATCCATTTTAAATAGTCCCTTCAAAATTCTGGCAATATATTGACTGTGACTGTATTTTCAATGTTGTTAAATATATTTACTTTTCAAATATATCCAGTGTATTTAGTGAAACTTTGGGAAAGGTACAAGGAAACCGTTTTTAACTAGTAATCTTTTCTTGGTCATAGCAACATCTTATTGGCTTACCTATATATATACCTGGCATTCTGTGTAATACATAAATGCCAGGAATGTTAAGTCATTTAATCATGTAATGTTAGTCAAGCTCTATCTCTATGTTTTTTCTATCTTGACAGTTTATAATTTATCATAGCATGTAAAAAGTAGGGGAACACAAACATACAGCAAGGTGGGCGATTAATTTTTATAGTTTATTAAAATATGAGAGTCAGTCTCATTAAAAAGCCCAGTATCTACTTTATAATAGGTATTTTTATATGTATTACAGATAAAAAGATAAGGAAGATTAAGCTATAAGTTTCTGTCCTCAAAGATCTTACATTCATGTTAGGGAAAGAGAACTCCAGTATATGATGCAATGTGGTAAATGCAGTAATAATTGAGTATTTTATGGGAACACAGAAGGAGGAAATGGGATAAAGATAGAACCCAGTGGGATTCACAGCTCTATCTTAAGGAAATGTGCAGGACTTTGACAAAGAAGAAACCTAGAAATGACTTTCAAGACAAAGGGAACATGCCAGTGTAAAGCATGTTGATGCACAAAGGGATAACAAAAATATTTTTTAGGTATGGTAATGTGGATAAAGATCTGGTGTGAGTCCCACTGGCTGTGATCTTGAGTAGTCATTACCTTCTAGATTATTCCTGTTTTTCTGGCAAGTTGGAGAAGGTAGAGTCAACATAAGCTCCTACAGTTTTACTTACATTGATATAAAAAAAACTTACTGTTTTTAAGTTTAGGGTATGGCCATTACTTATTTATGACTTGAAGCCTTAGGGAATGGTAAGAAATGAGAACTGGGGTCAGCTTATCAAGGGCCTTTATATAATACTAAGAAATTTAGATCTTATCATGCAAAACTTAGGGAGCTGATTGTTTGAAACTGAGAGAGTAGTATGATTGTTGTGGAAAATCCACCCACACGCGGGGAGATAATGAAGCACAAACTTTATTACCTGGGGGCCCAGAGGGGGTGGCTAACATCCAAATCCTCTGAGCACCGATCCTCACGCTCCCAGGGTTTAAATAGTCCCGGGCTTCCTACCTACGTGGCGAAGCAAGGTTACAGAAGCCGAATGTGGAAGTTAGGTCCAGCTACCTTATATGGGAGACAAAGAGAAAACTCAGGAGGAATTTGCAGAAGCTACAGAGCACAGGAGCTTATCATGGGAGTCTGTGTACGACCTTGAGTAACTGGCTGTTGCTTTGGTTACGACTTGTCAGCCTCTACAGTCCTGTGTGAAACTTTGCAAGTGTTACAGTTACAGAGCATAAGAAACCTTTGGAGTTTTCTTTTCCTGCCACATGATCAAATCCTTATTTTAGAAAAATTGTTTTGGTTGTTATGATAAATTTGGGAAAAGGAAGAAGAGAGAAAAAGAGAAAGGCCAGTTTAAGTGAGAACTTTAAGAATCTAGTGGAATCACATGTAAAATGTCATAATAGCATTATGTCATATTGAAGAATATAAAAGTAGTGTCTACTGAACCTATTTACTCTAATTTAAAAAAATAGTTGAAATATAATTTACTGTTGAATCGCAAATTAGAAAAGGACACAGTGCTAGAAGTAGACAAACTGAAAATTATCAAAAGACTTGGCAGTTGAACAGAGAGCAAGTGACAAAACTTTTTTAAAAAGAATAACAGGTTAGAACCACTTTGTAAAGTGTCAAGTCTACACAAAATCTTTTGATGTTACACATTATAATGGTGATAATAATCATGAGTCATTAAGTTTACTATATTTTAAATATGAAGAAATGCATTCCTAAAAGACATGTATGTTAAATGTCTAGAAAAAAACAATTTGGGGATATTTAAAAGGGATAGATTATAATTTTCTGTACATTTACTTTTATAGAATACTTTAAGCTGGAAAATGAGTTGAGAAGAATAAAATAAGTTTGAGCTCTGATATGTGTGAGGTCCTTTACACACTTTGTCTCAATCCTCACAGCAGCCATAGCAGGTAGATGTCATTATCCACGTTTAAAAATGAGAAGTTAGGTAACTTTTGGAGTGTTACATGGTCAGTGGTTTATGCTTTTCAACTAATGTTTTTACGTATCAGGAAGAAAAGTTAGAGATTAAAAAGGTGGGGAGAAAATTATGGTAAGCAACATCAAAAAGCCAGAGATGTAGAGTTTCAAGAAGAACATGGTGATCAACAGTGTCCAATTTGGAAGACAGAGTGTAAGTAATCAAAATTAATAAATGACCATTAGGATTTTTTTTTTGCTTTATTCCTGGCACTTGTAAGATAGATAAAGACAATTAAAACAATATTGCAGGTAGAACTATTCTATTTTATTATTTCAGGATATTTTACATAGTCTATATTTTAAACTATAACAAAATTTAAATGCTCACATTTTTGTTTGTTTCAGTTATATCAAGATTTCTTGATACAGAGCAGCTTCTTTCTGTTTTAGTCCAAATTCCAAAGCAAGACACGGTATGTTTATATATACATTTTATGGTATATTTTTATACATTGTAATATAATTTGTCTTTTTAAAAATTGATTTTAGAGAGAGAGAGAGAAAGAGAAAGAAACATTGATTTGTTGTTCCACTTATGTTTGCATTCATTGGTTGCTTATACGTACCCTGACTGGGGATTAAACCCACAACCTTGACTCTAACCAACTGAGCTACCCGACCGAGGCATGATATAACTTGTCTTAATATAATGTAACAGTTAGAAAATGTCAAGATGTTTTGAAAAAGCACTTCATTATTAATGTCTGGATTTTTTATGCCTTTTAAAAGCAACAACTTCTGAATAAACTAAATGTTCTCTGAAAATCTTCAGCATGGAATTGCTTGCCTAAGATGAGTTATTATATTTTCCTTCAAAAATATTGATTTTAGAAAATGCAGTTTTCTGGTCATAAATATTTACTGAGAATAGTGCTTAGAATTTCTTATTGGAAGTAGCTCAAATGTCTTTTCTTTCTATGCAATATTTATGACTATGCTATTTAATGTATCATATTAAGAAAGTTTGTGTTTCTCATTATAAACATTTAAAATTCTGCAGTATTTGAAAATGTCAATCATTTTTTCACGTTTTACCCAAGTTCTTTGCTTCATTTGAATAAGTTTTAATTTTTCTCAATTGATTTCAGACTGCCATATAGAATATTTGTAATAGTACATTTTTTTTCATTCATTCAACAAGTTATTTTACTTTACCAAGCATGTAAGTGCTACGGATACTCTAAGAAGTAAGTCCCTAAGCCAAAGGAATTTATGATCCAATGTGGGATTTAGGTTAAAAAAATCAGTTACAATATAGTATTATCAAGAACTGTAAGTGATCTGATATTCTACCCTACTTGCAAACTAACAAGTTAGCCTGACAGAGTTTCATGGGTCCTGACAGAAGATATCAGACTCCTGGGTCAGAGAGAAAGGACTTGAGTAGTCAGAGCAATAGCAGTAGCCAGAGTATAAGGATTTTCTTGTTCTGGTTCCCCAAGTTTTATTTCCTATGTAGAGTATGTTGTAAGAGAGAACTGCTGTACTTAGGGAACACAGAATCTTTTCTAATGGGAAATAAGCATACTTGCCTGCTGTTATGGAGGATGACACCATTTTAATCTTCCAAGACTATAAGCAAACTTGTCCTTTGTTCTGTATCTTTCAAGCCTGCTCACTATACAAACATCCTTGAACAGATTGTCAAAAACAAAGGCAGTCAATGCCTTTGCTTATAAGGTAGGCAGAGATGTAGAGGCCAGCAGAGAATTGTCTCCTAATTCTTCCAGGAGACAATCTCTCTTGCTGGCTTTGAAAAAGCAAACTGCAAAGATACTCTGTATTAGGTTTTTTTTGTTTTGTTTTGTTTTATTTTTTTTTTATGGCTGTGTAACAAATTACCACAACCATAGCAGCCTCAACTACCCATATTTGCTACCCTATAGTTTCTGTGGGTCAGAAGCCTATGCATATCTTAGGTTGGTCCTCTGCTTAGGGTCTCAAAGCTGCAGTTACAAGTGTTCTCCAAGCTGGAAACTCATCTGGAATACTCACTGAGGGAAGGATTTGCCTCCCCACTTATGTGGTGTTGGCAACATGTAGTTCCTTGCAGCTGTAAGTTTCAGAGCAGCTTCTTCAAGCTGACAAGGCAGGGAAAAGTTGGAGAGGAAGACAAAAAAAAAAAAACAGGGAGGAAATTGCCAGTGATATAAGAGGTTAAGAGAGTGCCTGTGTGCTTGTAGTAAGACAGCTTTTCTACAGTAGGGTTTCTCAACCTTGGCAGTGTTGACATTTTGGGCTGGATAAATCTTATCCTGTGCATTATTGGATTTTTAGCAACATCCCTGAGTTCTGCCCACTGGATGCCACCAGCTGCCCCCTAATTTTAACAACCAGATATCTTTGGGCATTGCCAATTGTCTCAACAGGCCAAAATTTCCCCTAGTTGAGAATCACTTCTGTACACATGCTAAAGGATAGAGGTCAAGTGATTGTCCATGTGTCCTCAGAGTAAGACCACTGCTTTACAAAACTCCGTATTTCTATCAGTAAGAGTCAGTTGAAGACTCGGAATTTTTCCTGCTCTGTCAAGACCTTCCACCCACCAGTCTTTACTTTTATTGTTTGTGTGAACCAAAGTTTCTGTGAGTCAGTACTTACTTTTCTTCCCCATTTTTAAAATTAAAGTTATTGGTGTGACACTGGTTAATAATATCATATAGGTTTCAAGTGTACAGTTCTATGATACATCATCTGTGATTCACCACCCAAAGTCGAATCTTCTTCCCTCACCACATGTTTGACCCCCTTTACCCTTTACCAGTCCCTAACCCTACCATTCCCTCTGTTAAACACCATAATGTTGTTTGTATCTATGAGTTTTTGATTGTTATTTATTGCTTTCAGTTTTATATCATATGGTTTTTGGGTTTTTCCATCTTTTTTCAGGTAGCAGGAGGTTCTCAAGATCCACCCATGTTGTGGCAGTATTTCATCTTCCTTATGGCTGAGTAGTAGTCCATTGTATTGTCGTGTCTTCCTTACCCAATCCTCTGTAAGGGGACACTTTGGTTGTTTCCAGGTCTTGGCCACCATGAATAATACTGCCATGAACATAGAGTACATATATCTTCACAAATAAATGTATTTGCTCTTGAACCATCAGGAATAATCTCTTCTCCCTATTCATGTAAATCACCACAGGAAGCCTAGTACTCTTAAGGTATTCCTCATTGTGGACTCTACTTCCCATCTGTCTCTGTACATCAGCTTTCCTGTCTTTATTTTTGCTTCATCCATTTTATGACACCCTTTCATTTTTCTCTTTGCCACTCAAGGTCAGTTATGGGCAAAATCCCCTTTATTCTGTACCTTCTTCTTCAAACGGAAACCTGTCTCTTTTGTTGTGACTTCTGTTTCTCAGACCTCTTAAGTGGTGCTCGTTCTCTTCCCATTGCTTCTACTGGGGAGGTTAGAGTGTGTGTCCTCCTTGCTCCTTGTTGCCATTGAGATCTCTCTTCCTAAAAGTCTCTGGTTTTGACTCTCATATAGTCAGAGGTCCCTTAAAGCTGCCCAGCAGTCATTCTATATTTTCCTTGTACATTTGATTCTTGTTATGCTCTGAGAAACTGTTTCAATCCATCTTTTTTCTTCTTCAACCTTCAGCACCTCTCTGGCAGTGATGGCAAAATCTGTTTTCTCTGTGTTTTGGGTGCACAGCTACCCTGTGTTTCTCAGACTCCCTTCTGGGAGAAGTAACTGAATTTTGTCTAGTGGAATGTGAGTAGAAGTGATAAATGCCAGCTTATATCTTATCCATAGAGAATTCACTCTTTCTGCCTCTTCTAAATAGATGCAGACAATCCAGTAGAGGGATAGTGAAGCCACAAGATAGAAGGTTCCTGTGTCTTTAAATGGCAGTATGGAACGTTGCCCTCCCACACACATCAAAACCACTTCAAAATGTGTATGAGCAAAAGATAAAATATTGTTATATTAAGTCTTTGAGATTGGGGGTGTATGTTATAGGAGTTGATATTATTCTACCTTAATACCAGTTCCTTCCCCACCCCATTCTAAGCTGATAGTGACCTTGCTCCCTTCTTCACTGAGAAAAGTGAAGAAATCAGAAGAGAACTTCTATAAGCTCCTGTGACTGCATTTATCTATACTTACCAGCATGTATCTTCTCTCATCACTGTGGATAAACTGCCTGTCCATCCTCCTGGCTAAAGCCAACACTTTTACTTGTGTCTTTGATTCCATGACTTCTTACCTTTGCAGGGGACAGTACTTCAGAATATTTCCTTTGTTGCTTGTGTCAGTTCCCCCCTACTACTTGTGTTTTTTTCATCAGCATAAAAATATGCTGTTATCATTCATTAACATTTTAAAAATTCCCTTATTTTACTTCTCCTTCTACTTCTTCCCTATTTATCTTTCTCTTTACAAAAAAATTCCTTGAAAGAATTACCTGTAATTGATACCTCCAGTCATTCTCCTTTTTCTCTCCTGAACCCATCGCAATCTGGCTTTCACCATCACTATTCTACTAAAGAAGCTCTTGTCAAGGCCACTGATGATCTCCACATTGCTAAAGCAGATAGTTAATGGAAGTGCTGATCATACCTGACCTATCGGCAAAATTCAAAGAACACAATCTTTTCCTTGAACTATTTTCTCCATTTACCTTAGTACCTTTTCCTTCTTTTCTTCCTACCTTTCTTTACATGTTACCATTTTTAGACCTATAAAAAGTAATGAGAAATGTACACATAGAAAACTGCAGAGAACAACAATGCAGTGCTCATTGATTTCTCACAAAGTGAACATCCATGTAATGACTACCTAGGTAAAGAAATAGATATTACCATTACTTCAAAAATCACCCCTTCCGGTCCTTCCCATCATTATCCTCTCCCGCCCTCCAAAAAATCCCCCAAGTTTTAGTAATCACTCTCTTGTTTTTCTTCATAACTTTGCCTGTTTTTAACTCTTTGCTTATAACCATTCAGTTTTTATTTTTTATATCTGGATTCTTATAGTCAATATTATGTTTATGGCATTTAATCATGTTGCCACATGTAGCTGTAGCTCACTTATTCCCATTGCTGTATAATATTTCAATGTATGAATATGCTATTACTCCTTTCATTGTTGTTTGACTTTTTGAGTTGTTTACAGTTTTTGGCAATTGGAAATAATGCTGGTAAACCATCTATACCTGTTTCTTAATACAATTGTGTGCGAATTTTTACTAGGTTCATAGTTAGGAATGGAATTTCGGGGTCATGAAATGTCTTCAACTTCAGGAGATAGTGACAGAATGATTGCCAAAATGTTTTTCACAATCATTGTACAATTTATGGTCTCATCAGCAGTGTATGAGAATCCTCATTGTTCTTTCCCAAAACCTGATATTATCAGTTTTAAAATTTTAGCCATAGTGGTTGGTAAATAATGGTATTTTATTGTGGTTTTAATTTGCACTTTTCTATTAATGAAGATGAACACACTTCCAGATATATAGAGACCATATGAATACTTTTTGTGAAAGCCTTTTTGTTCAAGTCTCTTGCCCATTTTTCTCTTGGGTTGTTTATCGTCTTTTGTGATTTGTAGAGCTTCTTTTTATATTTTAAATATGAGCCCTTTATTGGTTCTGTGTTGCAAATATCTTTTCTTACTTTTTAGTTTGCTTTTTCCACTTTTTGGTTTGAATGCTGTTGGTGTACTACCCGTGGTGCTTGGCATTCTCTTTTGTACAAGGAGGGCTTCTACTGCAGGCAGCTGGAACTCATTGCCTGAGGGCTTTCTCTAGCTGCAGGAGAGATCAGAGTTGTTGCTCTGGCAATAGGTCGTAACCAATACTGAACAGGACTAGATGAATAAAGATCCATTTTTCTTACCTATGAAGATAGCTTCTGAAGCTTACTTTACACCATCTCTGGTAGGTCTCTAGCAGGACTGAGCCATAGTACCATGCAGTAGTAACAGTATCATCAGTGCATCCTGTTTTGCTGTCCTTCTCTTCCCTTCTTCCGTACTCCTTTGCCTGTGCCTAAAGAACTTAATTTTCAAAGAAATTATTTGCCCTCAGATTCTAGTTTCTCAAAGTTGGCTTATGGAACTGGTCCTGGGTCATGGTATCTTTTGATGAAAAGAAGTTCTTAGTTTAATTGTAGTCTAATTTATGTTTTTTCCTTTGTAGTTAGTATTTGTTGTATGCTGCTTAAGAAGTCTTTATCTACCTGAATGTCTTGATTGCACCCATGGGATTTTAACTTATGGAGATAACTGAGTAAGGCTAGTGCCTTTAAAAGAAGATTTTTATTCCTTGCTATTCCTGAGAAGAGGAAGCATGCCTCTCAGGGTGACATGGGAAAGTGCCAGGGTTGGTCAGGAGTCAAAAGGAGTGAGGGTAAAACATCACAAAAGCATTATGGGAAGTTGTTAGTAGAAATATCCCCTATTGAATAGAAAGCAAAATACAAATGTGGGAGTTTGTGGTTGGAGGGCTTATAATAAGATTTTAATGCACCCATCAAAACCAGATTATGGGGAATATGTGAACAACTTTAGGCATTAGTTTGGCCCTATGATTAATGGATGCCAAGTAATTAATTATGAAATTTATACAAACAAATTAGAACACCCTAGGTAATGAAGATATTTTTTTGTTATATTCCAAATATTTTATTGCTTTACTTTTTATATTTAGATACACAATCTTCCTGGAGTTGATTTTTGGATGTGGTGTGAGGAAGGAACTACATTTTATTTTTCTCATATGAATTCATAATTGCATTGGCACCATTTATGGAAAAACTGCCCTGTCCCATACAGTTCTACAGTCAACATTCGTCATCAGTCAAGTACTCATATTTTGGGGTCTAATTCCAGACTGTCCTTTTGTTTCTTTGGTTTCTCCTTGACCTTGTTCTGATACCACAGTTTCTTAGTTACTCTAACTTTGTTATAAATTGATATTTGTTAGATTTAGTCCTTTCATCTCATTCCTGTACAAGAGTATCTTGGCTATTTTGGAAGGTGTTCTCCTTTGGAAATAGTGATGATAATTGTTTTCTGTTTGGTGAATTTTATTTATTTTTAATCTTCCAGTTAGTTTCAGAGATCCATTATAAGAGAGCATGAGATAACTTATTTTAGGGCTAAAAACATCCACTTTGGTATTTCTTCTAAATTGACCCATATGGTCATAGAACAGGTCAGGTAGCTGTGTATGAAATGGGGAAAAAGGTCAGAGATTAGAAAAAGAAACAGTTCCATATCAATTACTATTATATCTTAATAGTAATTTGGATAATTACTATTATATCTTAATAGTAATATCCTAAAAGTGCTTGTCAGTGTTAGTAAATTAGTCCATCTGCAAGAACACCGTCATTTCCCCAGGTTTAGTACCACTGCTTGATGTTAGAGATAGTACTACCATATAATTTGTAAAAATTTTCTTTGTAACATTTAGAATGCTGGTGTTGCTTTATTTTGAAAAACTATATTTAATTTGGATGCCTGGAGTTATGAAAATTGTTTTACCTGAACAAACAGGAACCAATGAGGGAAATTTGCATTGTTTTGTAATCTGGAATATTTGGGTTCAGTTTTTCAGATCATCTCTCCACAAATACTCTCTGTGCCTTTTCCAGTCAATCCTAGTCTCTTACTGCTGCTCAGAATTGAGATCTACCTCCTGTTACTACTATGAGTTAACACAGTGAAACCTAAGCGCTTGGATAGAAATGAAAATTGGCTACATTGAGTTGAACTCTTTTCATTGTCAGACTCTCAGGAAACTAGTCCACTAGTCTCATTATGATGGATTGGTAATTTCTAAACAGTGTTCAGGCTGACAGTCATGCTGGCTAGGTTGATATATGCAAATGTGTGAAATATGATAAGCATAGAACATTTTAGAGGAAAACCATTTTTGTATTAAATACTTACATTGTCCACATTTGGATTTTTATGTTAATAGGTTAATGTAGCTGAATCAAAGATAACAAATTTAATATACCTAAAACATACCTTGGAACTTGTGGATCCTTTAAAGGTAATTTTGGGTGTGTATTGTACAAAACATGCCTAGGCATCAGTATTTTTAAAATTTTTGTTTTGAAAAAATTTCAAACTTAGAGAAAGTTGCAAGAATAGTATGACTAATTCCGATATTCTGTCTTTACATTCAAAACACACACACGTATTATTATCCTTACTATTATTCTTACTGAACTGTTTCAGAATAGGTTTTAGTACCTAAATACTAAAGTGTATATTCTAAGAACAAGGATGTTCTCTTATATAAACACGTGATTATACAATTCAGGATGTTCAGCATTAATACAGTACTGTTGTATAATAGATAGCCCATGTTGAAGTTGTCCTAAAATGTTCTTTATGTATTTTTTCCTGCTACAGGGCCTAGTCCAGAATCATGCACAGTATTTAATGTCATATTTTTAATACTCCTTTAAATTGAAAAGTTTCTCAGCATTTCTTTGTCTCTTAGGATATTGACATTTTGAAGAGTAAGGATCCGTTGTTTTTTAGGATATTCTTCAATTTGTATGACTGTTTTTCCTGATTAAATTCAGCTTATTCATATTTGGCAGTAATGCTCTATAAAAATGTTGTCTCTTTCTTGTGATGTCATTTCCTATGCATAGCAATATTAACTTTTTTAAAATCATTTTTTAAAAAATTTTATTTTAATTGTTCATGCAATATTAACTTTGATCAATTTCTTCTCTTTAAAGTTTTAAGTAATGTATGGAGAGATACTTTGAAACTGTAAATATCCTGTTTTTCATCAACCTTTCACTCACTTATTTTAATATTTACTGCAACTCTTACCTGAAGTAATTGTTATTCTGATGGTCCAAAATGGCAATTTTCTCATCCATTTTTAAATACTGTCTTGTGCAAAACATTTGTAAAATACAAGTGACAAAAGAAGTACTTTTGTAAAAGAAAAATAATGAAAAATGTGGAAGAGTTTTACAGAGTTCATTTTGATAAATATATATAATGAAAGCAATTTGGCAAAAAATTTCAAAAGTATTGTTATCTTTCATGGGATGAAAGAGGTACAGTAATAAATCTTCCCCTTCGATTGACATATTTGTTGAAACAAATTTCAAATTTTGAAGTTTCAAAGGCAAAGTAAAAGCCAAAGAAATTTATTATAAGAAAAGTTTATAGCAAATGAGAAACAAAATACTAATTTCTGTCATCATAATATACTTACGTAATTTTTAAAGAAAATATTGGAATGACAGTGGAAATAAGGAAAATGACCCCCAAACAGAAACCAAAGTGGTTAATAAATAGTACCAAAAATGCTTAATCTCACTATTATTCAAAGAAATAAAAATTAAAACCATAATTTTTATCTTTCAAAGAAGCAAAGATTATTTTCTTTCTTAATGGATGCAACTTATTGCTGAGAGAACAGTGCAACAGGCAACTAGCTAGTTGGTAGGAGTACAATTGTATGTATTTTATAGGAAAGTTTCAAAACATGTCTTTTTTTAGTTTAAAATATTTTTCCATTTCTTAAAGGTTTTATTGATTTATTTTTAGAGAGAGGGGAAGTGAGGGAAGAAGGGAGAGAAACATCATTGGTTCAGCTACCTCTTGCATGCCCCCAACTGGGGACCTGGCCTACAACTCAGGCGTGTGCCCTGTTGGAGAATCAAAGCAGTGACCTTCCTGTTTGCAGGCTGGTGCTAAATCCACTGAGCCACACCAGCCAGGACTAAAATAGATGTCTTTGATCCTGTAATACTACTTCTAGAAATACATATGAAAGGACTCTTAAGAAATGTTGACCAAGATTTATGCCCACTGATGGTCATTGTGGCTTTATGTATATTAGAATATAAGTAGCATAGTACTCCAGTAAGTAGGGGAAGAACTTTTCTTCCTACAGGGTGGAATACATAATAGGAATTATTTAAAATTTTTGCTATAGAAAGTTTTTAGTGTATATGATATAGTATTAAGTGGGGGAGTAAAGGAGCATGCAATGATGTAACTTTTTGATTAAAAAAAGTGACAAGAAATGTAGAATAATATTTAGACTATCTTTGGAGGGGTATTAGAATTATGAGTGATTTAAATGTTTTTCTTTATGCTTTTATGAATTTTTTAGTTTTATCACTGTGTAAATATTATTTTTATTCATAAGCAAAACATATTCCCATTGCCTCATAACAAACTAAAATATCAGTTTAAATATGTTTTTTCCTTCTCTTTTGTTTATTCAAGTAATGACTACTTACAGTTTCCACTGAGCAAAATAAAATACCTTCTTTTATCATATACAAATGGAGAAAGCACTTTTTTAGTTTAATGTAAATTTAATGTAAATTTTGGAATTATATGTACAGTGTTCCCAATGGACAATGAGAGCTGTGTAAGTATTGTACCTACCTCTAATAAGCAGATAAATGTTAACAATTAGTTGGGAGGCAAGAAAAATGGAGGCCACTTATTAACCCTGTTGCTTTTTATATGGAAAGCAGAAAAGATACTATCTGTCCTCACTTATATACCTAAAATATATTTTATGAGTATAAATGAGAAGATGAGCAAGAATGCACTTGATAAGCTGTAAAGTATTAAACAAATGTAAAATACTGTGTATGAATAATGTCATAATTTATTATCCTTAACTTTATTTTATTCTTTAATAGATTACTCTGAAGAACTGTACTATGCCTTTATTAAGAGCTTACTATGGATCTTTGGAAGATAAGAGGTCTTTTCACTCAACTGTTAATGAAATATCAGATTCTCCCCTTCTCCCTGATTGTAACTGATTTTAAGGACTCCAATTATTTTTTTTCTATTTTTTAAATTTTAATCATCTTTCAAGTACAGTTTTCTCCCTTTTACTCCCATTCCAGCCCACCCACCCAACCCTCCCCACTTCCCTCCCATTACCACGCTCCCCCTAGTTTTTGTCCATGTGTCCTTTAAATTTGTTCCTATAAATCCTACCCATTCTCTCCTGAAATTCCCTCTTCTTTCCCCTCTGGTCACTGTCAGCCTGTCCTCTATTTCAGTGTCTTTGGTTATATTTTGCTTGTTCTTTGTTTTGTTGTTTAGGTTCCTGTTAAAGGTGAGATCATATGGTATTTGTCTTTCACCACCTGGCTTACTTCACTTAGCAAGGACTCCAGTTATATTCTGTAGAATAATTACTTCAGCTTTGGTTAATAGACTCTTTAAACTAGCCATCAAAATTCTAACTATACTTTTTGTCTTATAAATACCAATAAGCCTGGTAACAGCACACTGAATATTTGTGTTAGAATAGCATTAAAAATTGAAATCATACACAATTTTAATATCTTTTGTTAGCTATTCTCTATGGAAGCACTCACAAATATAAAAATATATTTTTCTTTTTTGTTCAATCATGAAGGGCCTAATATAGCCAAAAACTAGTAGATATGAATACTGCATAAGATCTAAATATAATTTAATTTTAATATTGTTTTAAGCACTAGGAACTTGGTTCTTAACCAAAAAGACTTATGATATCTAAGAACTGTTATTATATTGATTTAAGCTTCAGATCTTCTGTAAGGCTACAAATGGAGGTTTGTAATAAAACTGAATTAATTGCAAATAAAATACAGAACAGAATAAAACAAAAGGTTAGGGAAACAGGTGTTACCAGACTTCTGGTTTGCATGATTATTGTACTTAATCACTTTTATACTGTCTCATAATATATATTTAGTCTCCCTTACCCCAATTGAGTGAGAGAACCATATGTTAATTCTTCTTTGAATCTTTGCGTCTAACACAGAGATTAATACATGATATAAGTACAATATCATGTTTATTAAGTCAATGAGCATGAAGCCAGAATTTTTATAATAGTTGTTCAGGGGTATATTTTATATTCATGGGACTATCAGTATGTATAGTTTGGGAACTCTCTTTATTAGAAGCATAGAATTGTTCTTGGTGGCCTTCTGTTGTTTTAGGAGTCTAGTCCTGACTAACAAAGTAGTTTCAAATTGACATAGTTACAGTTCTAACTTAGATAAATTTAAATTTATATATTGCTTATTTATTTTCAACATGATTTAAAACAGTAATTTAAGAAAATGTTATTTGCTATCATTAACTATGACTCAAATTATAGATTATAACTTTTTGACTTATTAACTATAATGTTCTTTTTTTAGGTTTGGAATCATACTTGAAAAGATTAAAACAGTAATTAATGATGATGCAAGATACATGAAAGGATGCCTGAACATGAGGACTCAGAAGTGCTATGCAGTGAGGTCTAACATAAATGAGTTTCTTGACATAGCTAGAAGAACATATACAGAGATTGTAGATGACATAGCAGGTAATTTAATTACTTGAGCATATATTTTTTGTTTTTTTAGAAATAAAACAGGTTTTTTAGACACTATACTTTTTTGCTGGTGATAACCTGCCATGCAGGTTATTGTTATTAAATAATATTTAATTTATTTTTTTGTTATCAAAAGAGGTAAGGTTAACACATATTGTTATTTATGGAACATTTTCTAAAAAATAAAGATCCCAAGTGTTATAATATGTCTATTTTTCCTCCAAAGTTAAATATAGCGGTACCTTCATACAACATTGTGTAGATACTACATAAAAAATGCAGGCTATCAGTACTAAAGGGTTTTGGTGGAGGAAGAGAGATCATTTGTGTCCAGAAGTGGCATTTGTACTAGTACAGTAATTTAGCAAATAAAGGGATGGGCAAAAGTCAGTTTACAGCTAGTAAGTGATATGATCATAAATGTATACTAGAGACCAGAATTTAGTCTTTAAAGGTTAGGAGTTTGGATTTTTCCCCAGAAGAATGAAGAGAACTCAGATGTTTTTGCTCTATGGAGTAAAACTGATCAAGAAGATGTGTTGAATGGATTTGAGTGGAGCTGTGGAGACAGGGAGACCATTTTAATCTATTACAAATTAAAACATTATTTAGGGTGAAAGCTATGTGTATGAGCGGAGAGAAAGACAAAGACCAAAGAAGGAGTTGCTAAGAGTTATTAATTGAGTAGATGTGGCCAAGGCAAAGAGGAATGTGGCCACTAGTGCTCATTGAGATCTGTCTCCTGAGAATGGTGGTTCTACTGAGAAAAGCAGGAACACTGTTGGAGAACCTGCTTTAGGAATAAAGATGTTAGTTTTCTCAAGTAATATTCAAAGCATTAATGGTCATCATATTAAAAATGTAAATTTAGAACTCTGTACTGAGCATGAAGTTGATAGGGAGATTTGGATACTTTTTAAATTTTATTTAATGAATCACCAATTTCCTTTTTGGAATACTTTGTTTTATAATATATGTCTGGTAGAGGGAATTTCTCATTGTGAGTTAATTATTGCAGTAATTTAAGTATTTATTCTCTTTTTAAAAATTAGAATGAGTAACAAGTAAAAAACTAATATTCCCAAGATAATAGTCTTGGTTTTATTTATTTTTTTAATTATATTTTATTGATTATGTTATTACCAGTTGTCCTGATTTTCCCCACTTTGCCTCCTTGCACACAGCACTCCCCAGTCCCTCAGGTAATCCCTTCACCTTTGTTCATGGCTGTAGGTCATGCATATAAGTCCTTTGGCTACTCCATTTCCTACACAGTACTTCACATCCCCATGGCTATTCTCTAGCTACCTATTTGTACTTCTTAATGCCCTCACCTCTTTGCCCATCCCCCCACACCCCACTCCTATCGGGCAACCATCGAAATGCTCTCTGTATCCATGATTCTGTTTCTGTTCTTCTTGTATGCTTAGTTTGTTTGTTAGATTCAATTGTTGATAGATATGTATTTGTTGCCATTTTATTGTTCATAGTTTTGATCTTCTTTTTCGTAAATAAGTCTCTTTAACATTTCATATAATAATGGTTGGTGATGATGAACTCCTTTAGCTTTTTCTTGTCTGGGAATCTCTTTATCTGCCTTTCATTTCTAAATGACAGCTCTGCTGGGTAGAGCAATCTTCCCTGCTTTTCATGACTTTGAATATTTCTTGCCAATTCCTTCTAGCCTGCAAAGTTTCTTTTGAGAAATAAGCTGACAGTCTTATAGGAACTCCCCTGTAGGTAAATGCTTTTCTCTTGGGGCTTTTAAGATTCTCTCTTTATCTTTAACCTTTGGCATTTTACTTGTGATGTATTAATTTACAGTTAACAGTTTGGGTAGGCTGGTGAGTTGGGTGGGATGGAGTCTCGGAGTATCTCCAGGCTGGGGCAACAGTGTTAGCCAGGTTGATGCAGTCTCAGATATGGCACCTGCCTGCCATCTCTGTGGCTCTGTGGGGAGGTGGGTTCAGAAAAGGGACAATGGCCTTTGCCCCCATTTCTGTCTGAGAGAAAGCTGTCCCCCAGCTCTGCCCTGATGCCAGACCCTTCAGTTCCTCCCTGTATGCCTGGTGCCTTTGAAGCTCCTACCCTGGTGCTGGAGCTCTGAGGAAGTAAGTCTGTGTGGGGGTTCTTTAAGAGGAACTTCCTGAGACTCTCAAAGTTTCTTCCACTGACTTAATTCCCACTGGGTTTTGCAGCCAGTAGTTATGGGGACTTATCTTCCTGGCACTGGAACCCTGTGTTGAGGAGCCTGAATTGGGTCTGGGACTCCTTGCTCCCAAGGTATCACTCCCAATTTTTTATCTACCACATGTGGATGTAGGACCAGCCCATTCCATGACTCTGTCCCTTCTATCAGTCTGGATGGATGTGGTGTCTCTAATTCCATACTTGCCAGACTTCTATTCCGCTCCATTTCTGATGGTTCTGGGTGATGGTTGTTTTATATTTTAGTGTAATTTTGATGTGGTTATGTGAGGAGGTAAGCCATGTTTATCTACGCTGCCATTTTGACCCAGTTTTATTTTTTAATTTTAATTTTTGCAATTCCTTTTATTCTCAAAATACCAACCAAAATGACTACTTTTGCTCTATAATTTTGTTCTGAAAAGAATGCTTACCCAGGTATTTTAGACATTAAAAATTTTTAGAGTTTAAAAGTATAACTAAACTTTATTATTTTTGTATAAAATAACAAGACAAAAAGCATGTGACATTTTTAAACAAAAAGAATACTTTTTTAATTAAAATATCTGTGTTTTTGTTTTTTCTGGTCACTAGGAATGATATCACAACTTGCAGAAAAATATGGTCTTCCTTTAAGGACAAGTTTTAGCTCTACTAGAGGATTTTTCATCCAGATGACTATAGATTGTACAGCCTTACCCAATGATCAACTTCCTTCAGAGTTTATTAAGGTATACTTTAGAGCTTGGTTAGAAAACTATTGTTTCTGATTTTATAGGATTACATTTACATACTTGCATTTTTAGACATTCTTTGAGTTTTACTTGCCAAATTTCTGAATGTTATGTGTATTGTTTCTCTTACCTACTTACCTAACAGCTATGCTAATATGAGTGATTTAGAAGCTTTCTTTGTAAAATGATTTTGTTTACTTATTTTAGAGAGAGGGGAAGGGAGGGAGAAAGAAATATCAATGTGTGGTTGCCTCTCATCTACCCCCAACTGAGGACCTGGCCCACAACCCGGCATGAGTCTTGACTGGGAATGGAACCGGTGACCCTTTGGTTCACAGGCCAGCACTCAATCCACTGAGCCACAGTAGGCAGAGCAGAATTTTTTTTTTCCAAGAGGAATACGAAACAGTGCTTCCCACAGTTCTGGAAGTTTGGTACAGGTAGAAAAGAGAAGAGAAGAGAAGAGGAGGGGAGGGGAGGAAGGAAAGAAGGAAGGAAGGAAGGAAGGAAGGAAGGAAGGAAGGAAGGAAGGAAGGAAGGAAGGAAGGAAGGAGGGAAGTCCAAAAGTTATTTTTGATTAAAGAAATTTGGAAAATTTCTTATTCATCTTATTTTAGGTAGTTCTCCAACACACATTTGTATATTAAAGGTTAAAAGTCATGAAGTAGAGAAATCTACTTAGCTTACTGTTATCCAATATTGCCAAACTTTTAGACCAGGGAAATATTTTTTCATATACACATATTAACTCCTCCATAATATACCAATTTGGGAAAATCTGACCCACTCTTATCTTTGCTCTCTCTGTTTCCAGGGAGTCCCTTTTGCTAAAAACAAACCATTTAAATTTGGGGGTTTTAAAATATATACTATATTACCAAGTAATGTGGATAGGTAAAGTGAAGAATGGGATGGGATGGGACTTAGTAATGGGGTTGGAGATCGAGTGACATTCAGTTATGGGACTAGGCCTGAAACAGGGGTCAGAGATCGAGTGAGGACTACTGATATGTATCCTGTATATTACTTGATAATAAGATGTAGCTTTTTAACATTCTATGTGATCATTTTAAGACCTGTAAAAATAGTCATGCCCGATGGACTAAATTAAAAAAATTCTACTTTAACTTTAGAAGTGATGTTTTTCTCATTCACAAACACTTAGGACTTTATCTGTGAAACTATATCTGAAAAATTAAAGCAATTAACTTGAATACCTATATTTTTATGGCTTAATATCTGTATGTTTTATTTCATAGGAGTGTACATGTATTTTGACTCTTGTTATTTAATTTCCAAACAGATTTCTAAAGTGAAAAATTCTTATAGCTTTACTTCGGCAGATTTAATTAAAATGAATGAAAGATGCCAAGAGTCTTTGAGAGAAATCTATCACATGACTTACATGTAAGAGCATTAGGAATTTTTGAATATTAAATTAAATTGGTTTAATTTGATGTACTGTAATAAATTTTATTAATTGACATTTTGACTTCAGAATAAATGTTAGCAAAGAAAGAACATTCCTGGACAAAGTTAAAATTTTCTCTTTGCGATTAGGAATAGTGAACCTCACAGAAGCTTTAGTGTAAATCTAATTGCCAAATAAACCATTATTACTGATACTTCCATCATAATGTAGAACTTGGCACATCAAGGGCTTATTGTGAGTTTCATTCATTTCAGTCTTTTTCTATACTGTGTAAGCCCTTCCATTTCTCATGCCTTACCACTTACACAGCAACATCACAGTACCACCAGTCTCTTGCCATTCACGAAACAGTAGCTACACTGTCAGAAATAATAAATAGGACATTTAGAACTGGTGATCTGAGATGATAAAAAGACATGTTGGGCTTTCAAAACAGTTTAGGGCATAGACCATGGAGATTATAAGACATAATACATTTTGGGAACATATTTTTCCTTGTAAGGGAAAAGCTTTTATGTTATATCACACTTGTGATAACTCTGCCACATAAAAGCTTAAAGAATTATATTGTTAGGGTATATGTGTGAGAGAGAGAATATATGAGTGAAAGAAAATATGTGATAGGTTTTGTGGTGAATTTAACATGTAAAATCACAAAATTTATTAGCAGATAGGATCTGTTGAAATATAGTAAGGACTTATATAAAAATATTTTCATTAATACGTTTATTTTATTAAGATTTAATTAAAATCAGTCACTGCAAAAACATGGTGCTAACACACCAGAAGACTTCTCTGCTACTAAGTAACTGTGACCTCAAGTATGAACTTCAATTTCCTCATGTCCGTGATGAGACAGTAGAACAATAGAATATCTGAGGGTACAACTCAAATGTGAACGTTATTTTACCTCAGGCAATGAATTTAGTATTGTTTTATAATTACATTGTACACTCATCTTAGAAAGTATTACTTATCTTACCAAAAATGTACTTTCAGGATAGTGTGCAAGCTGCTTAGTGAGATTTATGAATATATTCATTGTTTATATAAACTGTCTGACACCGTGTCAATGCTGGATATGCTACTGTCATTTGCTCATGCCTGCACTCTTTCTGACTACGGTAAGTTACTCTCTTTGGAATAAATTTGTTACATACTGAAACTGTATTCCATTCAAGCAATTTTACATAACAATTATGAATGTTTTCCATTTTTTACCTGACATATAGTCTCTTGCCTCTGGTCTTAGATTCACTCAAAATAGAGAAACTGAAATTGCCTTTAAAATTTATTTTAAAAGTCAGGCAATCATTTACTGAGAAATTGATAAATCAGAAGAAAAAATGGAAGAAACTTTAGAGGTTCCCAAAATAAGAAAGAGTACAAAGCTATCTCATTGGTGAGAATGAGAAAATGATCCAAATTTATAAAGTTTGAATCTGAATACTCAGAAGCAGTGTGACTAATACTAGTGGACATGAGAGAAATGAATCTCCAAAGTGAGCATTTTCTAAACCAGTTCCTTAGGTGTGAGCATCACAGGATCAAGAGTTATATCATATTTTGTACAGGCCTTGACTATAAAGAAATAATTGTCCAATGTTAAATGAATACTTCAAATTATCCCCCTGACATTTCTTTTTTTTAAAATATTTTATTTATTTATTTTTAGAGAGGGAAGGGAGGGAGAGAGAGAGAGAAACATCAATGTGCGGTTGCTGGGGGTCATGGCCTGCAACCCAGGCATGTACCCTGGCTGGGAATCGAACCTGTGACACTTTGGTTCGAAGCCTGTGCTCAATCCACTGAGCTACGCCAGCCAGGGCTGACATTTCTTTTTTTTTTTTTTAATTATTTTTTTAATCATTGTTCAAATACAGTTTTCTCCTTTTTACTCCCAATCCAGTCCCCCCTCCCACCCTCCCCACTTCCCTCCCATTACCACCCTCCCCTTAGTCTATGACCATACATTTCTTATTCAATTTATTTCTAACAACCATACTCCAGTGTACAAATTTGCAGAACTAGTATGTGATCATTAAGGTTGAATAATTATGAACTTAATAACATTAAAATTTCTACCTATAATCATCAGTAACATTTCCAAAATATTATGTTAATTTATTTTTATAATGGAAAATAAATAGCTTATACAATTCTTTTTTCATATTCTCATATTTTTTATAAAAATGTTAACTTTTTCAATTGGTATTTTATAGGCCCAAATTTTGAATCTTGTATTTTTTGGGGGGTCAAAGTCTTACAGTAAGCATCAGTTAATCTTAATAGTAGTTTTCTTAACTATTAAGATATTTGATACTGCTTTATTTTAACTTGAAAGGGATCATCTTGAAATTCCAAACCTATAAATATTGAATTTTTGGTATTAAAATAATTTGGAATAATTAAAAATATGTTTTCTAACCATCCTTACTTTTATAAGGAATACTTTCAAGTTTATCTATGTGTTTCATCTCAAGGAATGTGACATTTTATATTCCTCCCACCTTCTTCCTTCTCCCTTTATCTCAAAGACCATCCATAGAGATATAATCATTATTTGTTTCTATAAATTAGCAATAGCTTTTGTGTATGTTTTCTCTAGCCTCTGAGGTTTTGTTTTAGATAAAATTTCTATAAGGGTTTGGACATAAAATGATCTTACACTTAGTTTTATTCTATATTTGTATTTCATTTGAAAAGCTAAGTATGCCAGATTTGAAGGCAGGAATTAAGTAATGGGCAATTTTGTAGTACCAGTTATTTATTGTTATGTTAAAACTGTTATCAATGGCTAGTTGATTATTCTTAATCTGTACAAATCTGAAAATGTTATGAACTTTTTTGGAGCCTAGGACAACAGGGAACTAAACCCTAGAGTTCCCTGGGAGTGAATAAAAGTGATGATGTTTAGAGTGTGTCAAATATAATTTAGAGGGATGTATATATACTTATATATTATTTGGGATAAAATGATACTTTAATAGTGTTCAAAATTGACCCTAGTAAAATACTAAGGTGTCACAGTATGTACACACCACAAAATCTTTCAACATAAATATATACCTTTTAAATATATAATCTTTCAAAACCATTCTATTTTTTTTCTTTAGTTCGGCCAGAGTTTACTGATACATTAGCAATCAAACAAGGATGGCATCCCATTCTTGAAAGAATATCTGTGGAAAAACCTGTTGCCAACAATACCTATATTACAGAAGGAAGTAATTTTTTGATCATAACTGGACCAAATATGAGTGGGAAATCCACGTATTTAAAACAGATTGCAGTTTGTCAGATTATGGCCCAGATTGGTAAGTTATGGCTTGCTTTATCATTACCAATTCTGCTTCCCATTTAAAATGTTTTGTGCCTGATGTTTTAGATCCAGGTACTTAATTAACCCAAGCATAGTTTGGAGTAGATTTTTTTACCTAAAAGTATGTGTAGTAGTGTCTAGTATGTAGACCATAACTTTTAGAATTTGGTATGTATTAAGCTCCATCCAGTTTTGGATTGGAGTATACTAAAAAGTTTGTGAAATAAAACATAAGTAGAGATTTCCTTACTATAACTATTAATGTGGTATCAATTATTACTAAACAGAATGATTTAATTATCAAAAGTAAACTTTGTGTGAGAAAGCATTACATAAATAAAATAAGTTCCTGTCTTTAATAACCCATATAAAATATTTCCAAAGTTATACCATTAGTCAGATAAGCATTTCCCTTATTTAATTGAAGAGGTACCAATAACTTGTCCATGGAAATTGATATATTACACACACATGCACACATATGCATATCAAACGCTGTCACTGGCCAGTTCAATTCCCAGTGAGAGGACATACCTGGGTTGCAAGCCAGGTCCCCAGCAGGGGGTGCACAAGAGGCAATCATACTTTAATGTTTTTCTCCCTCTTTTTCTCCCTCCCCTCCTCACTGTCTAAAAACAAATCATTAAAATCTTTAAAAAGAGAATACATATTCATATGTGACATAATTCTATTTGTGTTTGGTTATGGAAAACTCTGTCCTTTAAAAATGGGCCATGCAATTATTGTACAGCACTAAATATTAGAGCATTCATTATATTGAATTGAAATTTGACTTTCTATAACTTCTGCTCATTAGTCTTACTTCTTATCTTCCATGCATCACAGAATAATTTAGTGACAAGAGAAGTAGAATAATTTTCTCAAGTATTTGAAGGGCTATTATTAGAACAGATCAGATTATTCTGTGATGCATGGACGTTTAGAACGTAGGCTTTGAAACTAAGTTTGTCAAGTTACTACTTATGTGATCTTAGGCAAATTATTTAACCTCCTTAGTTTTCCATCTGTAAATGAAAATTATAACACTACCTACTTCTGAGAATAGTAAAGATTATGTGAGATAATTATATAAAGTAATCAGATTTACAGAAAGAATATGAAAAAGCACAGTTTTCAGGCAGAAGTAAGAACATGTTCTTAAGCATAGAAGCAAAAAAAAAAAAAATAGTATGGTATCCCCAAGGAACTGCAAGGAGTTCAGAGGCTTTGTAGTTCCTTTGCTTTGTAGAGCAAAAAGTGGCTGTGAAGAGTGGCAGGGTATAAAACTGGAGAGATGGACAGAAGTCAGATCACAAAGGGCCTTAGGAACTTAACGGAGGAGATTGAACTTGATCCAGAGATCTGTAGGGAGCTATTGAAATTTAGGCAAGAGAATGGTATGATTGGATTTGACTTTTAGGTAGATCACTCTGGTTGATATATGGTTAGACGAGAACCAGACCTGATGCAAAATACCAGCCAGGAGGCTTCTGTAATAATTTATATTTAAAAAAGTTGAGAACCTTGCCCTGGCTGGTGTGACTCAGTGGACTGAGTGCTGACCTGCAAACCAAGACATTCCTGGTTCAATTCCCAGTCAGGGTACATGCCTAAGTTACAGGCAAGGTCCCCAGTTGCAGGGGTGCAAGTATCTCTCACATACTGATATTTCTCTTCCTCTTTTTCTCCCACACTTTCCCACTCTCAAAAAGTAAATAAATGAAATCTTTAAAAAAAAAAGTTGAGAGCCTTTTTGGTGGAAGTAAGTGAGAGGAGAAAATATAAACATATATATGCCATATTCCGTACTTGGTACTTTTACATTTATTTTTCCATTTAATTCTTCTAATGATCTTATAAATTACATTTAAGAAATCTACTCTCTGGGGTGTGATCATTATAATTAATATTGTTATTATTCTTATTTTTATTAGTATTGTCCTGACTTTTGCTTTCTTTTCCTACCAGTTTTTATTTCTTGAAGGTAGATCCTATTCTTCATCCTTACCTTTGTTTTAAATTCAGGAATAATCTGGCGTTGTTTATGTATTCCCATTATTTCATCAAGTATACAGATAGAGTTCTGTATACTTGATACTTTCCCATTCAACTATTTGTATATTTTTTTCTTATGATTTCAGAATGCCTTTTATATGTCATTCTATAATATAGAGGTAATTGTATTAATCAGATTTGTTTTCAAAAGAGTATTTCCGATTAGTTAGCCTGATAACTTCTCAGGCAGAAACAATCTTGTGGATGAAAATTCAACTTAAAAAAATTAAATATTTTGCTTTCATTCTGATTGTGTATACTTATGGACATTTCTATTAACAGATATTTTCTAATATATTTTTCTATAATGTTTTTTATCAACTTCAGCTTCATAAGCATTTCTTTTAAATTTTATACTTTGAATGTTCATCATCTAACTACTATTTTAAAATTTTACCACATTTATAATAAACCTCTCTCAGGTACTTGAGTATATACTATTTTATTTGAACTTTCAAATAACTTTTGCAATAGGTAGGGCAAGTATTCTATTTTATATATGAAAAAGGCTGGGAGAATTTAAGTGTTGTCCAAGGTTATACAATAAATGACATAGCTGGGGCCATGTATTCTGACTCTATATTCAGTGATCTTTCTACCACCTAATCCTTAGATAGACTAGGAAATAATCTGAGGTGGTGGGAAGTGGAAATGTTAGTACTTGCATTTTATGAAAACATTTCAATGTACTTTGATCTTATATGTTATAGGATCATATGTTCCAGCAGAATATTCTTCCTTTAGAATTGCTGAACAGATTTTTACAAGAATCAGTACTGATGATGATATAGAAACAAATTCATCAACATTTATGAAGGAAATGAAAGAGGTACCGAAACTAAACTTATGCTAAAAGCATTAAATTCTGCCACTAATGGTCAATCATCATGTAAGAAATTATTCTTAAACTAAAACATGCAGATGTGCTTATACTACTCTTCAAGAGCCAGAGGGCAGTCAAAGACAGCTTCCTAGTTTTTGTCTTATGTGGAAATGGAAATGAATATTTTATTGAACAGTATAGTTTTAAAGAAAAAGTGTTACTGAATGATAAAAACATGTTTTCATATTTTTGTATGGGATATGTGAAGGTCTCAGAAGACGAGGACCTGTTCAGGGACATTTTGCATAGTATCTATTGTTCCTGTTAGGCTTAGTTTTAAAAGAAAAGATCATGGTGTTAGAAGGCTTTTAAAAATCATTACATATTTTATACTCTTATAGAATTTTCACTTCCTGTAACAAAGTATATATCACCTATATCTGATCTGAGCAGATGTCAAGTATACTTGAAGGGCTAAAGGAATTTAATATATCTCTTGCCCTATCTTTAGCAGGCAAGAATAATTGGATCACTATGTAGTCTAATTTTCTGTAGATAGATGGGGAATAAAATGATCATTTCTCTACAGTGTGTGATGTTTATATAATCATTAATAGAATGTATTAACTATCTGTGGGAGAATGTAGCAATATATTAAGTGCTTAAGTTACATTTATTTTTAAATAATCTTAACTCTCATGAAGCTTAGACCCATAGGAAGGTACAAGAACCATGAAGGTTACTATTGTGTCATTACATAATAAAGGTGAAATTCTGTTTTTTGAGAAGGAGTTTAACAATCTTCATTTGAGAAGGAGCATGCCTGTTAATGAAAGTCTTGATCTTTGTTGGGCATGGATTTAAATTTATTTGTTTAACCAAGAATCAGTGGACATGGATTGGATATTTTTGAAAATTTCCTTTCCATATTTACCATGATATAGAGAAATAACAATAAGTTTGAGAGTTGGTTTTGAGTATTTGATGACAATTGATTAGTCATTTTTGGAAAAGAAAATGACCAGTTTTATGCTTCATTTAAACACTTAATTCATTGCTTTATTTTGCTGTATCTAAAACATCCATATTTTTAGATACATACACATATGCTTATGTCTATATATGCATCAGCTATTCTCTTGGAATTATTAGTCATGAGATTTTTATAAAGCAATGTGTTAGTTTCTGCTCAGCTGTATTTCTCTATAAAAATATATTTCACATGAACTAATAGAGAGACTGGGTTTTTCTTCATTTTTCTATGATATTGACAGCTATTTGGTTATAATGAAAAATGTTAAAATTATATTTTTCAGATAGCATACATTGTACATAATGCTAATGACAAATCACTCATATTAATTGATGAACTTGGCAGAGGTACTAATACAGAAGAAGGTATTGGCATTTGTTATGCTGTTTGTGAATATCTGCTGAGCTTAAAGGTATTAGTCTCTATTTTAAGTATATTAATTTTTAGTCCTTTTTTGATGTGTCTTTTGTATATTTATCATGATTTCATTTTGCAGGCACCTATAAGTAGCTCTTTAAACAATTTTAGGTAGTAAAAATTACCATAGCATTTATATTTTTGTTACTTTATTTCTGACGGAAGTAGGAATGGTTGGTGTGATAGTCATGATACACACAAGGAAAGGAGGAAATCAAAAAACTACAAATAATGTTAAAACTAGTCAACTTGGCCTTAATTTTTATCAAATTAAATAGCAAAACATTAAAGCATTTCAGTAATTGTCTCTGTGTAATAACATTGACTATGATATCATAGTATGAAATTTAACTAGGCATCTGAGGTCACCTAATGGAAAATATTAATATTTTACCTGAGAGTTCATTCCTTTGAAAAATGTTTTTTTAAACTAATCAATTATATAAAAGAAACTATGATTTTCCTCTATTATAAAGCTAATTTGTAAAATTACCTTTTATTTTTATTTTTATTTTTTAAATATTTTATTGATTATGCTATTACAGCTGTCCGATTACCCCCCCTTAGATCCCCCTCCACCCTGCACACCCTCCCCCACCCACATTCCCCCCTCTAGTTCATGTCCACATGTTGTAAGTTCTTTAGCTTCTAGATTTCCCATACTATTCTTGCCCTCCCCGTCTATTTTCTACCTACCATCTATGCTACTTATTCTCCGTACCTTTTACCCCTCTCTCCTCCTCCCACTCCCCTGTTGCTAACCCTCCATGTGTTCTCCATTTCTGTGGTCCTTTTCTAACAGAACCACAGAAATGGAGAACCACACAAAGCAAGCAAAGTTGTTTGCTTTGTTTTCGTTTATGCTCTAGGTATGGTTAATAATTGTGAGTTTACTGTCATTTTATTATACATGTTTTTTATCTTCTTTTTCTTAGATAAGTCCCTTTAACATTTCATAAAATAAGGGCTTGGTTGTGATGAACTCCTTTAACTTGACCTTATCTGAGAAGCACTTTATCTGCCCTTCCATTCTAAATGAAAGCTTTGCTGGATAGAGCAATCTGGGATGTGGGTCCTTGCCTTTCATGACTTGGAATACTCCCTTCCTGCCTGTAAGGTCTCTTTTGAGAAATCAGCTGACAGTCTGATGGAAACTCTTTTGTAGGTTACTGTCCCCTTATTTCTTGCTGCTTCTAGGATTCTCTCCTTCATTTTTACCTTGGCTGTGTAATTATGATGTGCCTTGGTGTGTTCCTCCTTGGGTCCAACTTCTTTGAGACTCTCTGAGCTTCCTGGACTTCCTGGAAGTCTATTTCCTTTGCCAGATTGGGGAAGTTCTCCTTTATTATTTGTTCAAATAACTTTTCCACTTGTCGCTCTTTGTCTTCTCCTTCTGGTACCCCTATAATTCAGATGTTGGAACATTTAAAGATGTCCTGGAGGTTCCTAAGCCTCTCCTCATTTTTTTGAATTCTTGTTTCTTCATTTTTTTCTGTTTGGTTGTTTCTTTCTTCCTTCTGGTCCACTCCATTGATGTGAGACCCAGCTTTCTTTCTATCACTTTTGGTTCCCTGTGTATTTTTCTTTATTTCACTTATTGTAGCCTTCATTTTTTCATCTAATTTGCTACCAAAATCAACCAATTCTTTGAGCTTCCTGATCACTAGTGTTTTGAACTGTGCATCTGATAGGTTGGCTATCTCGGTTGCTCAAAAGGAAGGATTCTGGGGCTTTCATTTGTTCTTTTGTTTGAGCCATCTCTCTCTCTCTCTCTCTCTCTCTCTCTCTCTCTTTTTATTTGTTTGGTCTGGTTCTGCCAGTTGCGTAGAGGGGTGGAGCCTTAGGTGTTCACCAGGGTGGGGCAACCCAGTTGCTGCGTTGTGACGCTGTATGTGGGGACGAGGTCCGAGAGGGAACAAAGGTGCTTGCTCTGCTCTCTGCCGATTTCAGTCCCTTCCGCCACTTCCCCCAAGCAAACTGGACCTTTCTGGTGCTGATTCCCATGTGAGTGGGCTTGTGTACCCCATGGGTCTTTCCAACAACCTCTCCTGTGAGGCTGGGAGTCTCCGTGCGCCTCAACTCCCACAGGTGTTTTCAATCAGAGCCCCAAGGCTCTGTTTCCCAGCACTGGGATCCTGGGTTGAGCTCAGTGCCTTGCTTCACAATCGCTGCCTTGCTGGGTCTGCCAGTTGCCACCCCTCGGCCGGGGTTTGCCAGCTGCTGCTTGCGTGCCCAGGGTCTGCCTGCTGTGGTCTTACGCCCTGTCCCAACACTCTGTGCTGCGCAGCCCCTCTCCACCTGGCTTCCTGATTCCGCCCCTCTTAGTGGTCTGGATGAACGTGTCTGTTTTAACCCCTTGGTTGTCAGACTTCCATACAGTTCAATTTTCTGTCAGTTGTGATTGTTATTCTGTTTCTAAATTGTTGTCCCTATCTTAGTTATGTGAGGAAGCAAAGTGTTTTACCTATCCCTCCATCTTGGCCGGCAGTCCCCGTAAAATTACCTTTTAGATCATCACTCAAAATACATACAGATATGAAAAAACTTAAATAAAAATATTTTTTCATATATAAGCTATCTTAAAATATTCCGGTCCTGGCTGATGTAGCTCAGTGGATTAAGCATGGGCCTGTGAATCAAAGGGTTGTCAGTTCAATTCCCAGTCAAGACACATGCCTGGGTCGCAGGCCAGGTCCCAAGTTGGGGGCACCTGAGGGGCAACCACACATTGACGTTTCTCTCTCTCCTTCCCTTCCCCTCTCTCTAAAAATAAATAAATAAGATCTTATAATATTCCTATGAGTCTATAATGATTTACTGTACCTTAATATACCTTAAATAAGAATCTAGGAGTTTATCATATAGAATTAAAGAATATTATTTTATACATAAAGTTATGTGATGAGTCAAAAGTAACATTATTGGATAACATTAGTCTTTGTAATTCTGAATCTATGTCATTTGATCAGAATTTCTCATATGAGAAAGATGTGCGTATTACTTGTTAGGATTAAAAGCGAATTCATATCTGTGATGATTAATTTTATGGTAACTTGACTGGGCTACAGAGACATTTGGTCAAACAATATTTTGAGTGTAACCATGAGGGTGTTTCTGGATGAGGATAGTATTTGGATTGGTAGAATGAGTAAAGCAGATTGCCCTCTCTAATGTGGGTGGGCTCCATTCAACTGGGTGGGGCCCAGTTGAAGTCTTGAATAGAACAAAAAGGCCTAGGAGTAAGAAGTTAAATCTGCCTGGCTGACTGCCTTCATATTGGTATATTGGTTCTTCCTGCCTCTGGACTCAAACTACAATACTAGCTTTTGCTGGGTCTTGAGCCTGCCAACATTTCGACTGGAAGTACCATCAGCTCTCCTGAGCCTCCAGCTTGCAGATCTAGGGACTTGTCAGATCTTGTCTAGGGACTCCATAATCACAAGAACCAATTCCTTAAAATAAATCTCTCTCTCTCTCTCCACACACATATCCCTATTAATTCTGTTTCTTATGGGAAACTTTAAAAATATAGATTTTGGTGTTGAGAATGGTTCTAAAGGAAGAGAATTTTAAGGATGAGCTTTCTGAATTGATTATGGGGTTTCTGGAATTGACTCTCTAATAGGATTAGATAAGATGCTAATGACTGTTTCCAGCAGTAAGAAAGCACTGGTTGTATGTAGTGTGGCCTGGCAATAGAAATACGCAAAATATCACCATTGGATACTCTTAATCAACTCCTTGTAAAGAAGCAAGGAGCTAGGTGACTTTACATATGATAATTTCAAATATTTTTGGCAGGCCAACAAATATAATGAGATTGGCTGGTTGCTCCTAACATTACTGGACAAAATGGAGAAAGAAAATAGAGGGCTCAGGTGTTCAAGCACCTGCATAAATCTCTATATAAATGACCTGAAAGCTTCTATATGTACCCTAAAGGAAAGTCTTACCTTCTGGAGCCACATGAATGAAATTCCTAAAAATCGGACCCAGATCTTGTCCTGTGACTGGCTGAATTACAGTGCAGGTTGAACTGTTAGCCATGTGGTAACAACTGTGCTATTAAAGTGAGAGCATTGATTAGGAAGAAATGGGATCCTGAAAGAATGTGGGAAGACCCTGATGAAGCTGGAAACAATGAGCCTCAAAATTCTAATAAGTCTACTTTGCCAGTGGAAGAGGCCTATCATCTGAGTGGATTAACTCTACGTTACCTGCAGAAACTAATGGGCTCCCCTGAGGCAATTGCAACATAAGACAATGCTGATTTTCCTTAGGATCCATCCTTAGCAACTGTCTTTGCCTATAATGTAGCAACCTTCTTCTCCACAACCAGATGAGGGTCCTAGAAGGCCCCTAAGGGTGGGGTATAAAGTATGGCCCATGAGGAGGTACACTATACTTCAAAAGAACTATCTCTGTCTAACTTATACAGATAGAAATTTGTGGAACATGTGTGGAACTGAATATTAAGGAACTGGATATGGATATAATTATCCCATATGTCAGGAACATAAAGTTGGATTGGACTGAATTTATTGATATGGACTTCCGAGGGAGAGATTTTACATTTAATGTTGCAGTTTGGGATATTTGGTTGGTTGGTTGAAACATGAACCAAAAGGTAGCCCACGGTGAGTGAATTGGAAGTGTTGGACCTTCCTTGCTTTAATTTAGAGATCTTAATGTAAGAAATGTCTAAACCTGTAGAGAAGTTTTATTAGAGTTTATTTGAGCCAAACTGATATGAACTGGAGAGCATGATCTCAAATGCTCCAGGGAATAACAGTTTTGCAGTTTCCTTTATGCATTTGAAGTTAAGAGAGTAACATAAGGAAGATTGTTATATGGGGGTGGGAAAAAGCAAGGTGGGGATTGGATTATAGGATAGTTAAAATTATGTTGTTTCTTCAGGGTTAATACCCCCCTTCCAGGGTAATTACGTCTCATTTTTCAAAAGTGTATTAACCTATAAGAACAATGGACAGGACTGGCTTAAACCTTTTACTAAAGAAGTTATAAACCTGGGGCATGACTATCCACAATAACCTGCCCAGTTAGCAATTTATGATCAGATGCCCATGAAGTTACTTTCCATGGAACCCCCTCTCTTTTTTTCATCCACAGAGGAAAGGATTCAGAGGCTTAGGAAGATTAGAATGTTATTTTGGATTTACCATTTAAGACATACTCACCCACCCTGGACAGGTCCAAAAGACATACTTTTCACATTAACTGTGAGAAATAAATTTGTGAGGACAGCACCAACATCCTTGAAGAGCTCTGTGATTGTTTTTCTCTGTAGGCCAGACCTTGCATTGGAAAGAGCAGTCACTGAATTGGGAAACCTAAATACAAGGGAGTAATTGGAGCTCAGGGTGGCAGGGGCCAACTGGTGGCACTCAACCATCAAAGGCAAGGTGGGAGTGGTTACCAAAACAGACAGTAGAGTCAAAGCAGCCATCAAAATAGTCTTGACTTGGTCAGATCTGTGGCATTGGCTAGTTGATCATGGTGTCTGTAGATATGCAATAGATAGGAAGTTTATTAAATTATTACTCGATCCGTATAAACATAAAAGTTTTAGGTCAAGAGAATAAAAGTCTATCCTGAATCGTAAAAACAGAGAGTCACAACCCCTTAACCAACTTCTAGACTTGAGCCAATTTATAGACCTAGAATCTCTTAAATGAAGGGAGGCCAACTCTGGTACACTGCCAAAAATTTATTCTCTTAATCATTCTCCCAGCCCTTTTCCCAGGGTAACTGTGTATTGGGGAAAAGGAAATGATCATACATTTTGAGGACTACTGGATACTGGCTCTAAACTGATTCTAACTCTAGGAAACACAAAACATCACTGGGGTCTACCAATCAGAGTAGGGGCTTGTGGAAGTCAGATGATAAATAGAGTTTTAGCTCAAGTCTATCTCACAATGGGCCCAGTGGGTTCCCAGCCCATCCTGTGGTTGTTCCTTCAGTTCTAGAATGCATAATTGGGATAGATGTACTCAGTAGCTGGTAGAGTTGCCACATTGGTTTCCTGACTTATTCAGTAAGAACTATTATGGTAGGAAAGACCAAGTGAAAGCTACTAGCACTTCTACCAAGGAAAATAGTAAACCAGAAGCAATACTGCATTCCTGGAGAGGTTGCAGAGATTAGCACCACCATCAAGGACTTGAACAAATGCAGAGGTGGTTATTCCCACCACATCTCCATTCCATTCACATATTCAGTCTGTGCAGAAGACAGATGGGTCTTGGAGAATGACAGTGGATTATTGTAACCTTAACCAGGTGGTGACTGTAATCACAGCTGCTGTATCAGATGATGTTTCATTGCTTGAGCAAATTAACACATCCCCTGGTGCCTGATATGCAGCTAATTGATCTAGCCAATGCTTTTTTCTCTCTCCCTGAGAATCAAGACCACCAGAAGCAGTTTGCTTTCAGTTGGCAATGTCAGCAATGCAATTTCAACTTCAGGGGTATATCAACTCTCTAACTCTGTGTCATAATTTAGTTTGCAAAGATCTTGACTGCTTAACCTGCCACAAGATATTACATTACATTACAATGATAATCTTATAGTGAGTGATTGGCTTTAGTAAGCAAGAAGTAGCAACTACTATAGATTTGTTGGTAAAACATCTGTGTCAGACGCGGGAAATAAATCTGACAAAAGTACAGGGAGGGGCCTTCTATCTCAGTGAAGTTTCTAGGGATCCACTAGTGTAGAGCAATTTGTTACATTTAGCCCCTCCAACTGGAAAAGAGGCAAAATACATAGTTGGTCTTTGGATTTTAGAGACAAAGTCATCCCCATTTGGATGTATTACTCTGGCACATTCACCAAGTGACCTGAACACTGTTAGTTTTAAGTGGGGCCCAAAACAAGAGAAGACTCTGCAACATGCTCAGCCATGCAAGCTGTTCTGCTACTTAGGCTACATGACCAAGCAGAGTCAGTAGTGCTTGAAGTGTCAGTGGCAGATGGAGATGCTATTTGGCAGGGCCCTGTACGTGAATTATAGCACAGGGCATTAGGATTTTGGAGCAAATCCTACCATCCTTTGCTGATAGCTACTCCTTTTGAAAAACCACACTTGGCTTACTACTGTGCCTTAGTAGAGACTGAATGATTAGCATGGGCTGCCAAGTTGTCATGCAACCTGAGCTGCCCATCGTGAACTGGGTATTATCTGACCCACCTGCCATTAAGTTGGGTGTACACAGAAGCACTCTGTTATCAAATGGAAGTGGCATATAGGTGATCAAGCCTAAGCTGGTGATGAAAATATGAGTAAGTTGCATGAAGAAATTGCCTGAATGCTCCTGTAAATGGTCCCCATGCCTGCTACACTGCTCTCTTTCTCAGTCTGTACATGTGACCTCATGGATAATCCCCTATGATCACTGAGAGAGGAAGAGAAGACTTTCCTGATTTATAGATGGTTTTGCATGATATGCGGGTGCCACTGGAAAGTGAACAGATACAGAAGTGTATCCCCTTTCTGGGACATCCTAAAGGACAGTAGTGAAGGAAAATTGTTCAAGCTGGCAGGACTTCAAGCAGAGCACCTAACTTGTTCATTTTGCTTGGGACATGAAATGGCCAAATGTGTAATTATATACTAGTTCATGTGCTGTAGCTGGGACTTGGAAGGAACATGTTTAGAAAATTGGTGACAAGGAAATCTGGGGGAGAGGTATATGTATAAATTTGTCTTAGTGGGAAAACTGTGAGGCTATTTGTGTTCCATGAGCATACTGAACCAAAGGGTGGCCTCAACAATGGAGGATTTTAATAATGTAGTGGATAGGATGATCTGTTCTGTGGATACATGTCAGCCTCTCTCTCCAGCCACTCCTGACATCATCCAAAGGACTCATAAACACAGTGGCCATGATGGCATGAATGGAGGTTAGGCATGGACTCAGCAACATAGATTTCCACTAACCATGACCATTCTGTAGTGGGCTACAACCATGACTTTATGCCCAGTCTGCCAGCAACAGACACCAACACTGTGCCTTTGATATGGCACCATTCCCCAAGGTGATCAGCCACCTGCCAGGTGGCTGTTTGATTGCACTGGACCACTTCCATCATGAAAGGGGCAGCAATTTGTTCTTACTGGGCTAGGTACTTAATCTGGATACAGATTTGTCTTCTTTTCATTAATTTCTTCTGCCAAAACCACCACCCTTGAACTTAACAGAATGCTTTATCCACTGTTGTCATACTCCACACAGAATTGCTTTTAATCGAGAACTCACTTCCTAGCAAGTGACGTGAAGCATTGGGTCTGTGCTCATGGAATTCACTGGTCTTACCCTGTTCCCCAACAGCTGCATTGATAGAACTGTGAAATGGCCTTTGGAAGACAGTCACAATGCCAGCTAGGTGGAAGTATCTTGCAGGACTGCAGCAAGGTTCTCCAGAAACCCATTTATGTGCTGTCCTTCATTGAATATGAATTTCTAAAACATTTTTAAATGAATCTATCATGTTAGCCTTAAAGCTATTAGTTTCATTCCTACACTTCTAAGCTACTTGGAAAACTGAACTAAATTTTATGTTTAAGAAATTAAAATAGAATTTTATCATTTGTTTAAAAAGCATTGATATTTACATTGATATTTATATATTCTAGGCATTTACACTGTTTGCTACACATTTCTTGGAACTATGCCATCTAGATGTCCTGTATCCCAATGTAGAAAACATGCATTTTGAAGTTCAACATGTAAAAAACACCTCAAGAAATAAAGGAGCAATCTTGTATACCTACAGACTTTCTAAGGGATTCACAGAAGAAAAAAATTATGGTATTTATGTAGAAATTATATCTATACACTGAAAGTCTACATATTCTCATAAGACAAAGCTTCTTCTCTCCTTTATTTGGCTGTCAACTAAGTACTTTGTCATTCTTTTGAGTGCTTAAATGCTCTAAGACAGTTTTCTATGTAATTTTATATGTATTAAGCTTATTTTAAAATGTATACTAACCAGTAACTATGTAGAATTATAACATATAAAGACCCCAGAAGTATTGATATCTATCCTTAGAAAAATAGTTTATATTTGCAAGTTATATAATGAATTGAATGTTATATATTCCTTACATACTCTTTCAGTAGTAGGTTCTTTCTCTATGTTCTTCAGAGTCTGGAAGCTTGATAATTAAATCTAAATGGGGTAATATACCCCATTTTAGACATTTATAAACTTGATTACATTTTCTATCTGTGTTATTATTTGACATGTGTGAAATCTCATGGATACAGAGAATTTTCAATTGACTTATACATATAAAGTTCCAAAAATTATTTTTGCAGTAAATGTGACACTTGGCAGAGGCAAAAAAAACATTTTTTCCATTTGAAATAGGAAATCAAGTGGATAGCTTAATTTGTATCAGATGTTTAATCTTTATAAGCTTTAATTTCATCTGCTAAATGGGAATAATTTTCCAGATATATAGGCTTGTGAAGATTGAATGAATTATCATGAACTTCCTAGTATAATGCCTAGCAATTATTACTTCTGAGTAAATATTAGTGGGCTTCTATTGCCTCTAGAGCAATAAATGTGATAAATTATTAGCACACAGTAGTAAGTATATATGGCATTCATACAATGTAATAAAATTAAATTCTGAGAACTTGAAGACTACTAGTTGGTACTTGGAATTTGCATGAAGAGTAGTAACCTACCATTAAAGCTTCTGAGAAATTCCTCCCTCATTGATCTGCTAGATAGAGGAACATTCAGCTATGTTTACATTCACCTCTGTTCCACAGAGGAACATCTCTGTGGCTAAACATTGTCCTCCCTTGCAAAACCCATATATTCTTTGACCTTCTATTAACCAACTGCATTTGTAGTTGCAATTTTAATGTTATTACTATTATTCAGTTTTCTTTTATTATGCAATTTTCTAATTACCTCTTTTCCTTTCCCTAACATGTTTTTTTGTGCCTCAGAGGTATCTTGAGAGGTAATTGATATAATTTGCCTAACATGTCTTGGACATATAATTAAATCTAATAATTGGTAAGTTGGACTTTGGAAAACTTAATTTTGAGAATTGTCAAGTAGTTTAGAAATGTCTGGGAGGGAAAGTTTAAATCTGGAAAGAGAAGATTAATACTGGTTAAAAGAAACACTGATACTAGCAATAATAATATTGAAGCCCCATCATTGTTTATAATTTTAGGGTTAAAAGCTGCAGAGGTGTCATCACTCCCACCATCAATTGTCTTGGATGCCAAAGAAATCACAGCTCAAATTACCAGACAAATTTTGGTAAGAAACTTTTTAGCAATAAGAATCATTTTTTGAATTCAAGAAAACACTTTTAGTGTACATGTTTATAATGGCCTTGTATCTAAATATGTAATAATTCACATTAATAGTTAAAATATTTAAAATAAAAACCTAATATCTAAATAAAGAAAATCCTCTTCTTAAAATTTTTGGTTTAATTCAAGATTTTCAGTAAATCAACTAATATGAGACAAAAGTTAAACAGTAAGTTCCTACAGTACTTACTGCTACACTAACTTTCTGATGAGAAAATAAATCTATATAAAGTATGCATTAAAAGTAAAAATCACTATGTACAACATTTTAAAATCCTTTTCATAGTTTTCAAAGCTCTACTATCTATTATCATATATAAACCTCATAACTCTTCATGAAGCAGTTACATCTAATAAATGATGAAAAAAAGTTACTAGTTTTACTCACATTTTTACAAATGAGGTTCATAGAGGTTAAGGGATTTGCTAGGAAGCAGTAGCTCCAAAACTGAATTCACAGCTGTTGGGTCAAAATTTGGAAATCTTTTTTCTTTTTGTATCAGGTTGCTTTATATTGTTTTAAGAATCCAGCATTTAGTAAACTGATCTAGGTACAGTATGAGATGTTCTACAATAGTAATAGTTTCCTATGTCTTTCACATTTTCTTAATCTGCCTTCAGTTTTTAATGCATTCCTTCAGTCTTTTCAGTTCCTAGACTGTCTTTTTGAGTTTACTTTCCCAATTAATGGCACTTGAATCCCTTCATCCATAATTTTGACAGTGCTCTTCTTCTGAAAACCCCTCCAATTGGGGGCAACTTCTTCAATAATCGTGCAGGCTTTGGCTTTTCCAATGATGCTCCAAATATACTTGCAGCAGGCTAACGTTATTTGATAAACTATATTCTAAGATGGACACTTTAACCTTTGGAATTATAAGGTTATTAATGTACATATTTAATGTAGTGGTGTTTTTGTTTTCCTCAGAGAAACTGTTATCTTGGAAGCACACAAATAAAGTATTATATAACTGGAAATAGTTTTGTACCCAAAGTTGTTGAAGGTGAACAAAAATTAACTTCTGTTCTCCTTTAAAAAAAAAGGCTAGCTTTTCCACTATAAATTCACATAGTTTAACTTTAGTTTAATATTTATTAGCTTTTTCTACCATTATTTTGATGAGTATGGTTTCTTTAGTAACTCTTTCAAAACATTTCTGTTGTTCCTAAGCCCTCTGTGACCTCACTCTCTACAAGGAATTCACCTCCTTTAATTTTTGAAAGACTTGAAGTCATCTTGATGAGTTCTAGAATCTTTTCCCCTTCAAAATTCTATTTTGGAGTTTTCTTTTTTCACCCATTTCTCTTCCTCTTATTTCAGAAGAAGAGATTATCTTTCAGCCTGTTTAACCATTCTACTGTCTCTCCAACCCTGTTAAGATGTTACATCATCGGTTTCCTTTCTTCACCTTGGATCCTTTGTATTTTTTAGAATGACTTTTCTTTTTCTATGACTGTTCTTAGATTTTTTTCTAAGAAGTTCTTTTTTTTCACCTTACTTCCCAAACTATATTTCTCTTCATTTTACTGCCAACTTCTCAAATGTAGCTTCTTCCATCACTCATAAACTGGATCTTCCTGTTGTCACTCTACTGAAAGTTTCCTCTTATATATGAGGCAATAGTAAAATCTTCTGGCTTTTTTTTTTTTCCACTTCTCTTTCCTGGTCTCTCTGTGGCATTTGGCACAATCATTCTTCCCTTTTCATAATTCTTTCCTGCTTTGATTGCTGTGGAATTGTTTTCCCCTGGATGTTTTCATTCTCCTACATCTTCTGTTACTTCTTTCCCTTTTTGATCAGTGCTTTTTATCATTCCACTTATCAAATAAAAGTATTTCTAAGGTTTTGCCCTGTTTATTTAAAAGTCTATCTTTTGTGATCTCATTTTCTCTTCAGCTTCCATTTTTATTTCTTATTGACTCTGAATCTATATAAGGATGGGGCAAAAGTAGTTTTACTCTGCCATTGTGACATAATTTTGAGTTAATAAATCTATTGCAATAATCAACTTGCGTGTCTCTTTTGCCCCACTCTATTTTCTCCATATTTCTTGAAATCTTAATTCATGTTTGTATCCTTTAATAGGTCCAAAATTATATTTATTATCTTCTGTAAAATTTCATTTCTTCATTTTCAAGCCTTCCTTTGATCCATCAAAGTCATCTATGAATCCTGCTTCTTAATCACCTCTTATTAGAACTAGGTAGTGAGTTCTGTCTTTTCCAGCCTGATCTAAATATTTCTACCATATTATCTCCTAATGTATAGCTCTTATCATGTTCCCCTGCCAAGGAACTTTCAACTATTTCTTAGCCTAGTGTTAAAAATCTGCTATGATAATATCTCAAAACACAGTCCTAGGATTACTTATGTTAAAATCACCTGCAATATTGGGAGCCATTCCAGATTTTCAGCGGTCTCTTGTGGCACAGGAATGTACATTTTTAACTAGTCTTCAGATGATTCTTTTCAAATTTATTTGGGTGACATTGGTTAATAATACTGTGTATGTTTCAAGTGTTCAGTTCTATAATACATCATCTACATATCGCACTGTATGCTCTCCACCTAAAGTGCAGTTATTTCTGAACCAGTAGGGGAGGTCCTACCACTTGCTGCCCACCAAGCAAGTGTCCAGAGACAGAGTTCAGTGGGAAATAATCTTTTATTTAACAATCATATAATTTGAAATAATGACAAATTTCTGCTTCATATATGTGGGTAACAAACTTAAGGTGAAAGAAAAACAGCATGACGTCAAAAATAGTTATTTAAATATTTGTCATTACAACTGCTACATAGGTTCAAGATCTGAAAATAACATAAGAACAAAAATCTGTTCACAGTGCTATTATCACCAAGGTCTTTGGAAATAAAGGCAAGTGTCTGCTTCAAAGCCCATTTCCTCTAAGACACACAAAGAAAAATCACCCTGTCACCCTCTACCAGCTCAGTTCAAGATTGCACCAAGAACCTCTTTTTTTTTCCTACCCAAAACTATCATAAATGTGGGTTGCTGAGCTGGTCTCCAGTCTCTGTCCAGCTTCAGGCATCTTTCAGAGTCTGTGCCCCAAGGCTTCTGCTCACAGGCCCACCCTGGCCACTGTTGGCAGGCCTGCTGGTGGCCTTTGACACACACCTCGCGCCCTGCCCCCCGGGGAGGGAAAAGAACCAAATGATGCTTTGCTTTCCAGTACACTGTTTCAAATGTCCTCTCCCAGAATCCTATGTCCTTCCAAAGCCCGTGGGCGTGTCCAGCTTTCCAACCGATGAAGGCCAGTGCCTGCCATGTTTGCCTTTGCCTTTTTTTTCTGACAGCCATGTTTACAAGGGGTCAGAGTCTCCAGTCACACGTGCTCTGTACAAGCTCCCTTCTCTGGCGGCACCCTTCATTAGGAGGACAAACCACTTGAACCTTCAATTTTGCCTTGGGGTTTTCTCCCTGACCCTTTCCTCTCTTGGCAATTTGACTCAACCCGTGTGTTACATAGTTTGCCCTCCATCACCATATATTTGACTCTCTTTACTTTCCTCACTGCTCCCCTCCCCCTCTGATAACTACCTCCTGTTGTTTGTGTCCCTGAATTTGTTTTACTTTTTTCTTTCAGATGATTCTTAAACACACTAAAGTTTGTTAACTACTGCTGTATAATTTTCTTATGCTAACTACCCCAACTTTAAACAACATTGCTTAATTATATAACCTATTTTTCTGCCACTCTCAATTACTTGTCATTTCACTGTTTTAACCTGATTGCTTGCTTGCCTGCTTGCTTACTTTCTTTCTTTCCTTCCTTCCTTCCTCATTAACTTTTTTAAAAAGATTTTATTTATTTATTTTTAAAGAGAGGGGAAAGGAGGGAGAAAGAGAGGGAGAGAAACATCAATCGATTGGTTGCCTCTCATGCCCTTAACTGAGACCTGGCGGGCAATCCAAGCATGTGCCCTGAACAGGGAATTGAACTGGCAACCTTTCAGTTTACATGGCAGCATTCAATCCACTCAGCTACACCAGCCAGGGCTTATTTTTAATTCTTTGAAAATTAAATTTATTGGGGCAACATTTGCTAATAAGATTATATAAGTGTGTCATGCTTTTTAATGGGTCTGTTCTAGATGTTTCTTTCATCAAGAATGCCTTTCCTTCCAGGTTCCTCTATCAAGATTCATTCCAAATACCCCATCATGTTTAAGAGTTTATTGACCTGAGTGGAATTGAGCTCTTCTTCCTTTGAGCACTTTGCATTCTCTCATGGGACCTATCATAATTACATTAATCAGTTGCTTATAAACATGTCTTTCCATTGTGAGACTGATCTTGAGTTTCATTAACATGTCAGGTAGACATTTTTGTATCTCCTGTAGATATAAACATAAGATGTGGTATCCAGATTATAGATGATAATAGATGTTCGATAAATGTTTATTTAAATAATAAACTGATAGTTGATCAATGTATTAAATAGATGTGTAAATATATAATCATCTTATTCTACTCATGAAATCATATTTATTTTTCCTATAATGAAAGTAGAAAAATGTCTGAAATTGCCTGCTATTGAGAAAGAGTTGAGGGATTTTATCTCCCTTAGTAAAGGGAAGCTCACTAAAACTTTACATACTAAAGAGTTAACATTGAAAATGCTGATTCCCCTATCTAGCTCAGGCAGAGAAGTGAATGAAGAATTTTCCAGCAGTACTTCCAACCCTGAAATATTATTCAAGGACCAGATATCTAAAGGTCTTCCAACACATTAGAAAATTCCCATTTTAAACATTATTTCTTGGGTATCCTTAAGTAGTTTGTTAAGCATCAAGGCATAATTTTAAGTAGCTAACTATGTTGCTTATTTTTATGTTGTAATTCACCTGTCAGGTAATATTTTCTCTTAGATTCTAGCAGTTTTTATGTAAGAGTGTTTTTGAGGGACAAGCTGTTTATTGACGAACCATTCTTTCCACCAGTTTATCTGTTGGGGAACTAAAATAGGAGATTGCAGAATGGTAGCCTTGAATGACAATTAAAATTTTGAATACTAGATAGCAATGAAAACAATGCTGTTTTTCCATAGCTTTTTAATGAAAAAGTGTTTGTAGAACACAGCTCTAGTGGATTTTCTCTTACTTTTTGGTTTTGTGTTGAGATATTTGACCTATTTAGCAGACTTTTTTCATTGAAAGGTGGTTTTCAAGGATATAAAGATCTGTCATAAATTTGCAAATATTCATGTGAACTTTTATTCTCCAAAATAATATTTCTTTATTTCTTCTGTATATTCCTTGCTAATTGGATAGAACTGACTTATCTGAAGGGATTAGTTAACCCTTGGGTTCTACATTTCTATCAAAAGATATAGAAAATTACTAAATGTTTAATATGAGTGGATAGTAGTCTTATTTTAATTTTTATATGTATTTTTTCAATAACAGAAAAACCAGTGGAATACCCCTGAGATGGAAAGACAGAGAGCTGTGTACCATCTAGCTACTAGGCTAGTTCAGACTGCTCGAAACTCTCGGTTGGATCCAGACAGTCTGCGAACATATTTAAGCAGTCTCAAAAAGAAGTATGAAGCAGATGTTCCCAAGGCTGAGCAAATTTTAGGAAAGACTGAATAATAATTCATATTATACAAATGAAATTAAAATTCATTTTATATTTTAGTTAGCAACTACTTGATATTAATCTCAGAATTCTCATCCCCTATATATTCTGTATAAGAAAATGTTTGTTATTACTACCTACCAATGAGAACTATTTAAAGGGCTGATTTTTAGGACAAAAATCAGTGTGATGTGATACTTTTTTCATTTATGAAAACTTTTATTATTGCTTTAAATTTATACTTATAAAGTTAGAATTTAAAATGTTATAGTATTGGGATGGGAGTAAAAGAGAAAATTGTACTGCAACAACAATTTAAATAAAATTAAAAAAATAAATAAAATGTTATAGTAAATACCTTATTTTAAAAAAACAACTTCCTTTTTATGTCTGGAAACATACATGAGTTTTTTACACTCTATTCTGAAGCAATAATACCCTATGTCTCAGTAATTTTTTACTTAGTATCCCAAATTCTAACACTGGATGCTTCTGAAGTTAGTTAGAATGATACTGGGAATTTCAAAGTATTTTTTTGACATTCAGTAGAGTTTTAAAGGACAAAAATAAACAAAGGCTATTTGTAATGCAGAGTGTTTCTGGAATGGGGAGTCACCACCACAGACCCTTTCAGTTTTCCAAATGGCCAGGCTTGCCATTTTCTACTCATCAACCTCTTTTTCAGGTTTTCATTTTTGGCCATCTTTTTTAGGTGAGTTGACCATGACTGCAGAAAGGTAATATTGATTTGTTTACCTCAGTTCTTGACTGAGAGGGAACATTGCATAGAACTGTTTTTCCGTAGGCATGTGGCTACACCACCATTTTAGAATCTCCCCACGGGTCACTGTGGTTTTATAACTGGACAAAGAAAATGGAAGACCACCAGTTCAGTAACTGTAAAGAGCTGTTGTATTCTCAAACTCCTAATTTTTACAATTTCATCACAGTAGATGACTTATTTACATTATCTCAGCCAGGAGGCCAAGATAGAGAAATTGTTCTTTTCTTGGACAACTAAGTATCTGGAACTCAGGGAATACATTCAAGAATCTTCAGAATTCATACTAATTTGACCAAAAAATAATTTAGAGACTGGTTAGGGCCCTATTTTTTGTTAACATACACATATTTTATCTTACAAATTTATTATTAATATGTTTGACTTTATTAAACTCTTTTTCAGCATTCTAAGTACACATTAGTAGCCAGACATATTGAAAAAGTTATAATTTGAATGACATATATACTGTTGGAAGAGTAAATGTAAATTAGTAATGACATTTACATTTGATATATATTAAATGTCCTATTAGACTACTTATGTTCTCCATTCGTTTTCCTCTTTTAGGAAGAGTATTTGAATTTGACCATTAACTACATTTTAATTCATAGATTTTAAAATTAATTATATTTTATGCAGTCATTGCTGAAAGCAGATAACTTAGGCTTGTGGCAAATATCTAGAAGGCACTGAGGAGGAAGGAAGTGGGCATGACAGATTGTTGGGGAGGACAGGGAAAAAAGTGAGGAAGCCATAAAACACAGAAGAGGAACAGGCAATGGAAGAAAAACAGGCAAGCCAGAGACAGGTACAAAGTATTAAATACATTGAATATTATTTCCTGAATTGTATTAAGTTCCCTTTAGATTTAACCCCAATATTAGATTCCACCAGACTTCTAAGAAACTTTTCATCATTTAGAGCTTTTGATGCAAAAACTGCAGCCAACTGACTTTCTTTTATTTTAGGTTTGTCATTCTGACATAAAAATAGCTTTATATTTTCTTAAAATTAAGTTACTGGTACTTTTTCTTCAATAGTATTTTGTATAGCAGAAACTTCAAAAAGCAAAGCAAATGAAGATACAATTATCATGTCATGGTACTGTAGAAAGAGGTGAATACGAGGAAGACAGTCCATTTTTTAATTTTAAGGTTTATTTGGCCCTACTCTTTAGACCTCTTTGCCTTTGACTTTCTCTAAAATTATAGATCATTATCTTATAATCCAGCCTTTTAAGATAAATGCCCATAATGTTGTACCAAACTCCTTTCATTTCTACCTCAAAGCCATTCTTTTAGTCTGTTCTGCCTTTCTCCTTGTATAAAGTCATCCTTTTTAAAGTCTGGGAGTAAGGTATGTGAGAGTAGAGGAATAGGGCAGCTTATCCTCATGCATAGGAAGCAATGCATTTATTTTAAAACTTATATACAGTAAAATTAGTTTTTTGGTGTACAGTTTTAGTTAAATGGTGCACATTTATGGATTCTTGGAATCACTACCACAAGCAGGACATAAAACAGTTCCACTCCCCCTAAATAATTCCCTTAGTACTGTCTCTTCATAGTCAAATCCTTCCCTGGCTCCTAACTTGAACCCAGCATTCAATGGGAATGATTAAGTATTCTTTCCCTATAGTTTTTTTCTGGGATTTTTTTCCTGGAATGTCCAATAAATAGAATAATATATAGCATATAACCTTGTGAAACTGGCTTCTGTAACTCAGCATAATGTGTTTTAGAATTTATCCATGATGTTTTGCCTTTTTATTGCTGACTAGTATTTCAATGTTTGAATGTGACACAGTTTATCCATTCACTCATTAAAGAACATTTGGATTTCCAGATTTGGTGATTATGAGGGAAGCTGTTATAAACATTCATGTATAGATTTTTGTGTGAGTTTTAGTTTTAATTTATCTAGGTTAACTAGGAATGAAATAGCTGCATCATATCATAAGTGTATGTTTAATTTCATAAGAAGTTGACAAACTTTTCCAGAATGGCTATACTATTTTGTATTACCATCAGCCATGTATGAGAGTTCCAATTGTCTCACATGTTTTCTATACCAGATATTGTCATTTTGAGGGGGTTGTTTTAATTTTAGCCATTGTAATAGATGTGTAGTAAATAATTCATTTTTAAAAAATTAAAGCTATTCTGATAATTATTTATAGTAAGCAATGATTTTTTCCCTCTTTCCTAATTTTTTTTTAGCTTAACCCTTCTGGTAGCATATTTTTTAATCTTTCCTTTCATGCAGAAGTTTTAGAATAGGTTTTACTCTTAAAAACTACAAAAAAAATTAGTAATATCTACTATGGAACAGGCCACATACTAGGTGCTAGGGATACAAAAGATGTCTGATCTTGAGGTAGACTTTGCAGGTGTAGTAAAGAGGAAAAAAACCCCATGTATTAGAGTTGGAACACCATGTGATAAATGCAATAATAGAGCAACATAATAAAAAGTGTAGTGGAACAAAAAATTATACAATTGTGAGTCAAGGAGTTTAAAAGATAGTAAAATATATCAGGTATTCAGAAAAAGTGCATTTTTGATAGAAGGATTGCATATGTAAAAGCAAAGAGATATGAAACAGTAAGCTCTTTGGTTTAGCTGGGAGGTAGAGTGCATATGAGAAAGTGAAAGAGAAGATGAATCTAGGTGCTTTATATAAATTTCTTCTGTAGACCACTGAAGAGTTCTAAGGTGTGTGTGTGTGTTTCTGGAGGTTGGGAGAGGGTGATGGCGATGGAAGTGGAGGGATAACAATGAGATTTCCATTTTAGAAAGATCATCTGGGTGATAGCATGAATGATTGGGGAAGGGTGATTGAAGCCGTAGGAAGGAAGACAAGATTGTTTAAGAGACTGTTTTAGTAGTCCGGTGGAGAGTTGATCATTAAAGACAGAAGCAATGGGAGTAGAACAGATGTGTTGAGTTGGGCAGAGGAAAAAAGAAGCAGAGACTAGAGTAGCTGGTGGGAGAGAGAAGATAATTTACTTGCAAGATACTAAGGAGATTTAGTGACTGATTAACCAGCTTAGTGACTCATCCAATTTATTACTGAAGGAAAGGTGTTATGGGTTCAATTGCCCCCACCCCAGCCCCTGCACCTCAGAATGTGACCCTTTTTGGAAACAGAATAATTTTAAATGTAATTAGTTGAGATAAGGTTATACTAGTAGGGTGGGCCCCTAATCCAATACGACAGGTGTCCTTATAAGAAGATTGCCATGTGAAGACAGTATTGTAGTGATACCTGTATAAGTTAAGGAATGTCAAAGGTCCTTAGATGATCACCAGAAGCTAGAAAGAGGTGAAGAAGGGTTCTCCTACAGATTTCAGAGGGAACATAGCTCTGCTGAAACCTTGATTCTAGTTTCCAGAACTGTGAGACAAATTTCTGCTGCTTTAAACCATCCAGTTTGTGTTACTTTGTTATGGCAGATCTAGCAAACTAATATAAGGAAGAAAAGTTAAATGTGATTATGAGTGTTGATGCTATCAACCATGTTGAAAAATAGAGAAGTACTGGTAAGAATTCCATTCAGTAGTTCTGGAAATGTAGGTGCTGCTTCTTGTCCATTCTCTGGCATAGATATGAGCCTTGTTCAGTAAAAGTGATAACTAGACCAAATTCACTAAATTCTAACAGTGTTGAAAGTGTAAGAGGAGGAGGAAGGAAAAAAATGGATGGAAATTAGAGAATAAATGTAAAAAGATTTGCTGAGCTATTTTCCCAGACAAATCTCTTGATCTGGATCAGCAGTCTAGTGTTTCTTTGTGATCTAGACTAATGGTATTTTTAATACTTTCTTCATATTAACACATATTTTTAACCAAAATAATAACTATGTTTATACTACTATTAAATATATTCAAATGTTACACTGTGTGTACTATAAATTCCTATATACTTATTAGGTTATAATATGCTTAATCATATAATTCAGTGTAGTTTAATTAAGTATATAAATTCAATCCAATGATGCATTAGTACCTCACAGGAATGAAAATGGAAGAAAAGGAAAAGCAAGTAATCCAGTTGTTTTGTCACTTTGCTGTTTCCATTCTATTCTTTGGAAGCTTAAATTGCACAGCTTTTATTTTATCTTACTATGACATCAGAATGAATACTCTTTTCCTATGAATTGTTAAAATTGTAAAAAATATTTTATTGAGTATGCTATTATAGTTGTCCCATTTTCACCCCTTTATTCCCCTCCATCCTGTACCCACCCTCCCACCTGCATCCCCCTCTCTTAGTTCATGCCCATGGGTCACACATGTAAGTTCTTTGACTTCTCCATTTCCTATACTATTCTTAACTTCACCCTGCCTATTTTGTACCTACCATTTATTCTTCTTAATTCCCTGTACCTTTTCTCCCATTCTCCCCCCTCCACCTCCCCACTGATAGCCCTCCAGGTGGTTTACATTTCTGTCAATCTGTTTTCCTGTTCTAGTTGTTTGCTTAGTTTGTTTTTGGTTTTGGTTTTTAGGTTCGGTTGTTCATAGTTGTGTTTGTTGTCATTTTACTGTTCATGTTTTTGATCTTTTTCTTAGATAAGTCCCTTTAACATTGCATACAATAAGAACTGCGTGATGATGAACTCCTTTAGCTTGACCTTGTCTGAGAAGCACTTTATCTGCCCTTCCATTCTAAATGAGAGTGTTGCTGGATAGAATAATGTTGGGTGTAGATTCTTGCCTTTCATGACTTTGAATACTTTTTTCCAGCCCCTTCTTGCCTGCAAGGTTTCTTTTGAGAAATCAGCTAGTAGTCTTATGGGAACTCCTTTGTAGGTAACTATGTCCTTTCTCTTGCTACTTTTATGATTCTCTCCTTATCTTTAATCTTAGATAGTTTAATTATGATGTGTTTTGGTGTGTGCTTCCTTGGGTTCAACCTCTTTGGGACTCTGAGCTTTCTGGACTTCCTGGAACTCTATTTCCTTTGCCAGACTGGGAAAGTTTTCCTTCATTATTTTTTCAAATGAGTTTTCTATATCTTGCTCTCCCTCTTCTCCTTCTGGTACCCCTGTGATTTGGACATTGGAACGTTTAAAGTTGTCCCAGAGGTTCCTAAGCCTCTTCTAATTTTTTTGAATCCTTGTTTCTTCATTCTGTTCTGGTTGGCTGTTTTTTTCTTCCTTCTCCATACCGTTGATTTGAGTCCCAGTTTCCTTCCGTCACTGTTGGTTCCCTGTATATTTTCCTTTATTTTGCTTTTCATAGGCTACTTTTTCCTCTATTTTGTGACCATACTCAACCAATTCTGTGAGCATCCTGATTACCAGTGTTTTTTTTTTTAAGGTTTTATTTATTTAGTTTTAGAGAGAAGGGGAGGGAAGGAGAAAGAGAGGGAGAGAAACATCAATGTGCGGTTGCCTCTTGGGTGCCCCCTACTGGGGACCTGACCTGAAACCCAGGCATGTGCTCTAACTGGGAATTGAACCAACAACCCTTTGGTTCTCAGACTGACACTCAATCCACTGAGCTACACCAGCCAAAGCCTGATTACCAGTGTTTTGAACTATGTATCTGATGGGTTGGCTGTCTCTTCATCATTTAGTTGTATTTTTCTGAAGTTTTGATCTGTTCTCTCATTTGGCAATTTTTTTTTTTTTTTTTTTTTTGGTCTTGGAGAGCCTGTTATATAGTAAAGGGTGGAGCCTTAGGTATTATCCAGGGTGGGGCACCCAACTTTCTGTGATGAGGCACTATGTGTGGGGGAGAGGTCCAAGAGGGAACATAGCCATTTGCTCGGCTCTCCACTGGCTTTCAGTCCCTTTCTCCAGAGAGCCCAAAGCAGTTGGGCTCTTGTGGTGCTAATTCCCAAGTAGGTGGGTTTGTATTTGTTCTAGGACCCTGTGGGTCTCTCCAAAGAACCTTCCTGTGAGGCTGGGAGTTTCTCCTGCCACTGCAATCCCCACAGATTTTTACAGCCAGAGGTTTTGAGGCTTTATTTCTGTGCTGGAACCCTGGGTTGCGTGATCTGTCTCAGTCCCCAGTTATTCCTCCTGGTTTATCCACACGCAAATGTGGGACCACCTGCTCTGCCAGCCTTTATCTTGTCACATGTTCTCTCCACCCTGGCTGCCTGTTTCTGCCCCTCCTACCAGTCTGATGTATGTTTCTTTTTTAACTCCTCAATTGTCAGACTTCCATACAGCTTGATTTTCTGGCAGTTCTGGTTGTTTTTTGTTTTTAAACTTGTTGTTGTCCTCCGTTTGGTTGTGTGAGGAGGCACAGTGTATCTACCTATGTCTCCATCTTGGCCAGAAGTCCGAACTGTTAAAATTTTAATGGTCCTCAGATTACAGGTAGGCAGTGCAAATGTCTACTATTTGATAAAATCTATAATGTATCCTAAATTATGTACCCTAAAATACATAGTCCTGAGGTGGGGGACAGATTCTCATTGTGAAGAACTGCAAAGGCATAGCTATGTATGGTGACAGATGTTACTGACTAGGCTTATTGTGGTGATTGCTCTGCAATATATACAAATACTGAATCACTATGTTGTATGCCTAAAACTAATATACAGTATCTCTTGTCTTTAGGAGATGCATTCCAAAACCCCCAGTAGATGCCTGAAACTGAGGATAGTCCCAAACTCTATATATACTATGCTTTTTCCTATGCATACATACCTTTTTACTTAAAGGAAGCACTTTATGGCTTCTCTTTGGCATATCTGAATTACAAGCATCACTACTCTTGTATTCTGGGGCCATTATTAAGCAAGATAAGGATTATTTGAATACAAACACTGCGATACCATGACAGTCGATCTGATAACTGAGGTGGCCAGCCATCATGAGACTGACAAGTAGCTCCTACAGCCTGCATGTGCCAGACAAAGGGATGATTCACATCCCTGGTGGGTGTAGCAGGAGAGCACAAGCTTTCTCATGCTACTCAGAAGGGCAGGCAATTTCTAAGCTTATGAATTATTTATTTCTGCAATTTTCCACTTAATATTTTTAGTACGCAGTTGACTGTGGGTAACTGAAACCCTGGAAAGTGAAACTGTGGCTGAGAGGAGACTACTGTAATGTTGTATGTCAATTATACCTTGATTAAGAAAAAAAGAACTATAAAGGGTCTGAGATTTTTACCTTAGTTGCAGACCAGCTGGTTAGCTTACTACAGTTTGATGTTTGCTGTCAGAAGTCAAAAGAATCACTTCTTGGCCTTTTGGCTACAATCAAGTGTAGTATCTGTTCTTATTAGTTTAATAACTGTTGTCCTGGCTGATGTGGCTCAGTGGTTGAGTGCTGGGCTGTGAATCAAAGGGTCGCTGGTTCAATTCTCAGTCCAAGGCACATGGACCCCAGTGGGGGGCACATGAGTTGCAACCACACATTGATGTTTATCTCCCTCTCTCCCTTCCCTTCTCTAAAAAATAAATAAATAAAAATCTAAAAAATAGTCAAAAGACTTCTGGGCATAAAATAAAGGACTTGATATTAATGACTCAGCGTGCAGCTTGAGCATCATTGTGTTTATGTTGGTTCCGTCCTATAAGACAGTGAGTGGTCCGTGTAGATGTGCACACAGGGGATTTGTGTTATAGCTGAGGAACCCCAAGCTTGGGAGCTCCAGTCATTTATAATGAACTTGAAGCAAACATACTTGACCTTTTCTGCATAGGAAGACATCACCTCTGTTATACTACTTACTAAGCAAACCTGCCCTTTGCTTACAGGGAGACACTGTCTCTAGCTTTCAATGTTGCTCACTATACAGACATCCTTAAAATGGTCATCAGGAATGAAGCAGCCAGTGTCTTTACTCGTAGGACAGCAGAAACATGAGGGACACATGGAGAATTGTCTCCTAATGCTCATATTTGTGTTGTAACACTTTGACCACATAGTTATAAAGAGAAAAGTCTAGTACCCTAGATATTAAGAAAGAAAAGGGCTAAATGATTGTAGTAGAAAACGTGTGAAAGTGGTCAAAAGGTACAAACTTCCAGTTATAAAATAAAAGTCTTGGCGATGTAATGTGTGCAATGGTGACTATAGTTAATAATACTCTATTCTATACTTGAAATTTGCTAAGAGAATAGATCTTAAAGGTCTTCATCACATGAAAAAATTTGTAACTGTGTGGGGATCATTTTGTAGTGTATGCATATATTGAATCAGTATGTACACCTGAAACTTATGTTATTTGACAATTAAATCTCAATTTAAAAATACTACAGAGCTTGTATTTAGATATATTACATACCAAAACACCAAAGCTCCATATTATAACTTAAGGCAAGTTAATTTAAATATAATCCACTGCTGTCACCCTGCTCCCAACCCCTACCTTTTAGTTGACTATTTCTTCACCTTGTATTATTTGATACTGTGGCTGGTAAAGAATTACAAATTCTTCTCAAGGAAGGAATGATGTCTTAATTTCCTTAATTATTCCCTACTACCAACTATGGTATTTTATTTGCAAAAAGACTTAGTAAATAAATGTTTGTTGACATAACTGCTTAATATAAAATAATATTTATCTAGCTTATAACATACTAATAAGAAGAGATTCACAATTCAGAAAATTAACATGACCAAAATTTCCACAAGTAGCAATAATGCTATAAGGCAAAACAACTTTAAAGAATGGATCAAAAAGGTAAATATAAAAATAAAATGCATGTATTTCTTCCACTTATAGAAAGGTAATGGGCAGAGCCATATGTTGATTTAAAATTGGTTCATTTAGGGTGTCGTGTGAAAATATATTTCCTAAGGGAATATTTAATGCAATAAAAATTTGCATGAAGTTAGTCATTTATTAACTTCTAAGACATACGATGGTGAACATCCTTAAAGAACTCAGGAAAAACACGTGCGTTAACTTTCTAAATTCAGGTAGTTCTGTAGACGAACAGGAATTAGAAGTGAAAATATCCCGTTTGGGAGCATGTTGTTGGCCAGCAGTTGAGACCTGATGGTCATCCTGCAGAGGTGTAGCAGCTCGCAGGGGTCTCGGTGTCTCGTTGAAGGAATGTAGTCCAGCCAGTCCGAGATAATCGGACGCCTTCCTAAACTCAGCTGCGTCTGAAGAAAAGGGAAATGTTTTCATTTTGTTATGTGAATCATTGGATTAGTTCGAGTTAACATTTTCATTTTTTATTCAAGTGTATAAAATATACCTTAATATTTTTCTAAAACACTTTCACCTAAGGCAAGCACTTTTACTCCCATTTCATTCTTACAACTATATATAAACTTTAATATGTCTAGGACACATACATTATTTCTTACAACTATGAATCTGCATGTGTTTTAACTGTAGGTCATATACCTATGTTTTATTAACTTCTTCTAGTGTAGTATTGTCAACTCGGATATGCACTGGAATTATCTAGGGCACTTTAAAACATATAGTGCCAAGGGTCTATTTCAGAAATTCTGATTCAGTTGGTCTGGGGTTGGGCAGAGACAATATAAATTCTAAAAACTCCCTGAAATGATTCCTATCATTATAGAGAACAACTTCATACTACTAAGCCATGAGAAGACCTGACAGGAGGCCCACCCATATGAAAAGATAACTTTTAAAGTTTCAGTTAAGGTTCTCTTTCAGAGATTTAATTCCAGAAGCCACATGTTAGTAAGTTGATTTAGGAGTAAAAAAAAAGATTGCTGTATTTCACAGACATTTCACCAGTAGAACCTATACTCTACAAACTCTATGACACTCTCACCTAAATGCTATATAATTTTTCATTATTTATTCAATGCTCTGCTACTTAAAGAATATCTAGTATGTGCTCCAACTGAGCTCGGTACTTGGGATAATGCTAGGGTGCACAAAACAGACAGCCTGTGATGACAGAACTGCTGTGCAGAGGTAAAGCTGTCTAAACATATGTTTACAATGAAATACATATGCTGTGATACGGAAAACTAGTGCAAGTGTGGAAATGCAAAGTAGGGGCATTTAAAGTGTTTTTTAAGGCAGTTTTCATGCTATCTTTCACCATCCTGCTCAATGCTACTTCACTTTAGGTTATTAAAATGCAATTAATTGGAAGCTAAATTTTTGCCCCTTAGGTGATCTTGGTCAACTCATTCTGTCCTGGTAAATACTTTTCTACTGTGATTGTGCCTTGGGAATAGCAGTTATGGTATTGGTCTAGAATTGTTTTCATCTAGAATTATTATGCAGGACTAACACTAGATAGAGACAAGCAAATTACTAAAGATGCATAAAACCTTAATTGTTTTTGTATTAAAAATTGGTTGCTAAGGCCCTGGCCAGGTATCTCAGTTAGAGCATCATCCCAATATACAAAGGTTGCAAGTTCGATCTCTGCTCAGGGCACATACAAGAATCAACCAATGAATGCATAAATAAGTGAAACAATAAATCAATGTTTCTCTCTCTGTCTCCCCTTTCTTCACACTCTCTAAAATCAATAAATTAAAAAAATTATTGCCAAAATAACTTGACTGATTTGTTCTCAGTCAATTTTCAACTGTTCCAGGCATGGTTGATTGATGTGCACTGTTGAAACTTAAAAAGAAAACAAAAACAAAACCAGCAGAGTTATATTTATAAGGAATTTGTTTCTGAAGTTACACATTTAAAGATAAGGGGAACTGCTAAAGTCCTTGGTAATTTTACTGGTTTCAATATACAGGAGTAACTTTCTTTCCCTTGAGCAGATTTACTTCTTTCTATTCTAGTAGACACGATACAGTGGTGCTGAAACTTGCAACTTGTTTTGTTAGGGTAAACACGATCTCCACATAAATTTTTTTTATTTGATCCTTACCCGAGTACATGCTTATTGATTTTAAAGAGAGGAGAAGGAAAGGAGAGAGGGAGGGAGAGAAACATCGATGTGAAAGAGAAACACTGATCAGTTGCCACTCGCATGTACACCAACTGGGACCGAACCCTCAACCCTTCAGTTTATGGGATGGCATTCCAACCAACTGATCCACATCAACCAGGGCACATATAGTTGGTTGTTTTTCTAAGTTTGGTTTATTTCCAAAAATCTTATCAAGGAGAAGCCCTCTACATATCTGAAGGATATTTTCCACTGAACAAATATTTTAAGCCTTTATATTTTTATGCTCAAAATTTTGAGCATAAAATGAGCAATATTTGAGATTTAAAAAAAATCTGTATTCTGATTATAAAAAATCTGATTGTATTTGTGGGGATAAATGTAACTCATTTTAAAATTTTCTATTGTGAAAAAGGTCTGATGAAATTGTATTGTTTTTTATTATATTTTATTGTTCATGCTATTGCAGTTGTCCCAACTTTCCCCCCTTTTTCCCACCTGCATCCAACCCCTCCCACACTCAGGAAGTCTCTATGCCTTTGTGTCCATTGGTCATGCATATATGTTCTTTGGCTGATCCTTTCACCTTCTTTCATTCATCGCCTCCCCTCCCCTCCTCTCCAATGGCTATTATGTTTTTTAAGAGACATAGAAATCCTTATAAGGAGATATTTTATGTAATTACAATATAATAATAACAAATTTATTTAATAAGTGCTAAAATAAACTATAAACTTAGCTTTTGAAATTTCCTCATATTTATAAGACAAAATTATGAAATAAAGGACTGATATTTGAGATAATTTGAATTTTGTCTATTTTTACAAGCATATTCTCAGTGATTAATTTTTCAGTGGATGTAATCAGATGAAAAATTAATTTCATTCTTATCTCATGATTTTATCTTATAGTTGATCAATATTTGAGCCCAAACTCAGAAAATAACTCTTTGCTTACCTCTATTTCCCTGATTGAAATGACAGGAAGCACTCTGGAACAGAGCACTAAACATGTTTTGGCATCTTCCTGGATGTCTACCAGTTCATGATCAACCATTATCCTCACTCTTGAAGGGTAGAGCAGTATTGTTAACACAATGTTGATAGGATTTTTTTCTCTTTCTAAGATTCCATATTGCAGGAGTATTTTTAAGATACTGGATTGTCTTGTCTGAGCTACATAAAGTAGAGGTGTGATGCCACTGAGTGGGCTGGGGCAGTACACTGGTGTGAAAGTCCTGTGAATCAAACAAATGAAACCTCATTAAACATACAGTTAAGAAGTGTGGTAAACACTTTATCTTAACAGTAATAGGAAAATAGTAGTACTACCTTATGTATTAAGTGTCTTAACTTTTAATGTAACTTTACATATGATGTCTTAGTTTTTTGCTCTGTGAATCTAGACAAAACTGAAGGTTAAAAAAAAATAAGAAAACTTCTACTACATATTTAACCCCCCTTTACACTTGTAAGAACAAACCAAAAAAGATTTTCAATGTGTACAAAGTTTTAGTAACAGCAATTCTGTTTCTCATTTGAAAAATCCATTGTGATTACAACAAGTATTAGAAAGCTGATGTAGCTCTGGAAACTATAAAACGGAAAAGAGAAAAAGGCTTTTTTTATTGTACTTTATTAATGGAACAGAATTATGCGACCATTTTGATATCTTCCTGTTTTTATTCTTGATTATGTCAGAGCTGAGCTTTAATTGTGTTTGAATATTGAACCAAAGTAATAAGTACAACTACTTTAATTCTGTTTTTTCACTTTTATAAAATTAGAATTGGTAGTTGCAGGTTTAAGAAATGTAAATGCCATATCAGGTCCCACAAGGACAAAATTTTATTTTCTTTCCTCAGAAAAGTTTTGAAAGCCCTCTGAGATCTTGTTTTTCATGCAGTGCTATGTGATGACTAGACTTGAAAATTTCTCCTCCCTATGACAGAAATGAAAATTTTATTTTTTCTAAATTTACATAGTCCTTGCAATTGTTTCATTTAAGAATATTTATGTTTGCTGTTGAATTGGTCCCTACATGTAGATAGGACATACCATAGAAGTGTTTAAATTATCAAGACTTAGTTTGGCCAAGTAAACATGGCATATAAACTATAAATTCTGGTTTTAGACAACTATGCAAAGCAAAGGAAGTATTATTCAAAGAGAGGAATTTTAAGATTGCATATACTTAAGATGGGAGGCAATATGGTATAACACCATAAACAATGGAGATTTAAGGGTTCTAGGTTCTAGGTTTTGGTTCTAGCTAGTATGCTGGGTAAGTCAGTCTCTTTGAATGTCAGTTTGTTTATGCATTAATGTGTTCATTTATTTATTCATTTATTTAATACTTGCTTGTCTAGAGCATACCAAGTAATAGATATGCAGAGACAAAAGATATAGTCCTTGATATCAAAATGCTTATTGCAGTGTAGTAAGGGAAATAGACAAGTAATTTAATAAATACAATGAAAGTTATAATTGCTGAAATAGATGAATGGTTGGATGCTCTAGAAGAGCTAAGAAGGGCACTTACTCTACTGGAATAGTCATTGCTCTAGGTTATCCTGGAGCTAAGGCTTGAAGGATTAGTAATTATTTGCCAATAAAAAGACTGGAAATACTCTTTCATTTACAAACAGAAATCAACATTGGAGGAGTGTTATGCCTGAACTAGCTATATAAAATTAATATTTTGTATTAGATAGATTTTTTGGTTGGTGTGTATTTGAGAGTCTTAGAAACCTCCTCTGTGGTGATTCCTTAGACCAACTATTTTATCTCCAAAAGCTTCAGTGAGCCTTATATGACAAAATTTTGTGATTTAAACAAAATAATAGGGTGGCATCGTGCATATTAGCATTTTGGAAATTGAGAAGTGGGTGTTTGCCATAACTCTGTCCGTGGTACTATCTATATTCTTCTTAGTTCTGTATATAAGTATATGTACTATCCCTGGAATCATCTCCAGAGCAATATTGTACTGGACATCTCAACTTTGCCACAAGTACTTCCAACACACATCCATAGTTGAACTCCTAAACTACTTCTCCTTTGGCATTCCTATCCTGCTTATTATTATTCACCTTCCCAAAACACCACTGCATTCAACTCTTTCACACTTCTTTGATTTGTACATGTTATTTTCCTCTCTTTTCAATTATGTCTTGCTCATTGTATAAGACTGCCTAATAAACTCTTTTGTGAAGTCTTCTTTGATTACCTGACCTTCTGTTATTTCTCATGGTACTTTGTGCATACTTCCATTAAACTCTTATTATTTTGGGCAACATCTCTAATCTTTTATTTCACACCTTCAAAAATAAATGGGTGAGCAAGATGAACTGTAAAAATTTAAGTTCCACAAGGCAATAATTTTTGTCTGTTTTAGTCCACTGTTACATTCCTAAATGCCTAGAACAATGCCATAGTAGACACTTAAATTAAAATTGTTAACTGATTTTTTCACTGTTATCCTGAATATATATATTCCTTAAATCTATTCTGTAGCTTTTAGACCTAACAAAGTTTTTAGGTAAGTGGGATTATTTAAATTTTTCAAAAGCAATCTAGTTTATTCACCTTGCTAACTCTAAGAATTTATTTGACTTAAAAGTCTTGTAAATATGGAAATTCAGAGAACTTAGGTAAAATAGCACAAGTAGCCCTAGTTAAGATTTAGAGATACCAGTTGATTTTAAGATACTAAGATTGACATTACCATTTAGAGGCTATTTTGGACCAAAAATGTTGCAGACATAACTAAAACTCAAATAGGTTTAAAATGTGATTTAAAAGTCTAATCTGTACCCAAATGACATATGATTAATCCTCATGTTTAAAAAGCATGCTACTGTAAACCAAAATTTGCTTAATCTGTACTGACAGTTAATTATAATAGTACTTATATGGATGGAATGAGGCAAGCAAAGCAGGAATCAGTTTTTAAATGTGAAGTTAATGAACTGAATCCTCTGTATCTGAAAACCTGTCACACACGCTTATGAAATGAGGCATAATATTTCCATATAGACATGCAGGGAATGATTTAGTTTTAAAGCTTTAATAATTATTTCTACTTTTTTTTTTACTATTTCTCTTTTGGTTTTAAGATGCTAAATTCAATAGCTGTTGCTCCATAATTTTATCTTTGCTGTTTGAACACAGTTGACTTTCTTCAAACCATGTTTTCTCTTGACTCAGTGGGACCGTTTTCTTCAAATTAAGCATCTACCTCTTTGACTATTCTCAACCCTCTTTCACTGGTTTCTTACAAAACCCTCAATATCTAAGTAGATGTGGCCTTTTGATTCATTTTCATTTGACTAATTGTTCTCAGGCAATTTCATTTATGACTATAACTTCAACTACTGTCTACTAATTTATTCAACAAATATTTATTGAATGCATATGTATGCCAGCACTATTTTGGGTGCTTGAGATACATGAGTGAACAAAACAAAGATGCCTCCTTTCTTGATTATGTTATAGTGAGGGGTAACAGACAATACCCAGTAAACATAGGAAACAAGCAGATTTTATACTATGTTAGAATGTTTGATAAGTGCTCTGGGAAAAGAAAAAGTAGAGCAGTATAAGAAATATGGAAGTGCAGAGGGTGTAATGAGGGCATTTCCAATTTGATTTGATTTGATTTGACTTGATTTTTTTAATCCTCATTTGAGGATATAGAGGGAGAAAGAGGTGGGGTAAGAGAGAGAGAGAGAGAGAGAGAGGAACACACATACATAAAAGACAATGAATAAGTACCTATCAATAATAACCTTAAACATAAATGGATTAAATGCTCCAATCAAAAGACATAGAATAGCTGATTGGATAAGAAAAAATGACCCACATATATGCTGTCTACAAGAGACCCACCTCAGGATAAAAGACCTACACAGGCTGAAAGTGAAGGGCTGGAAACAAATCTTCCAAGCAAATGGTCAAGAAAAAAAAGCTGGGGTAGCAATACTCATATCAGACAAAATAGACTTCCAAAAAAGGTCCATACAGAGAGACCCAGAAGGTCACTTCATAATACTCAAGGGAAGAATCCATCAAGAAGACATAAATATTGTAAATATATACGCACCCAACATAGGAGCACCGAAATACATAAAGAAAATCTTAGAGGACTTCAAGAAAGATATGGACAGCAACACAATTATAGTGGGAGATTTTAACACTCCACTATCAAAAATGGACAGATCTTCTAAACAAAATATCAACAAAGATATTGTGGCATTGAACAATACCCTTGATGAAATGGATTTTACTGATATATACCGAGCCCTCCATCCAAAAGAAGCTAAATATACATTCTTTTCAAATGTGCATGGAACATTCTCAAAGATAGACCACATGATAGGACACAAAACAAGCCTCAAGAATTTCAAGAAAATTGAAATCATACCAAGCATTTTCTCAGACCACAAGGGACTGAAGCTAGAAACCAACCCGAAGGAAAAAAAACCAAAAACACTCAAAATCATGGAGATTAAATAGCATGCTATTAAACAATGAATGGGTCAAGAATGATATTAGGGAAGAAATCAAAAGGTTTCTGGAAACAAATGAAAACGAACTCACTACAACCCAAAACTTATGGGACACAGCCAAGGCAGTCCTGAGAGGGAAGTTCATAGCGATACAGGCCCACCTAAAAAGGTTAGAAACTTTCCAAACAAACAACCTAACCCTTACGTCTACAAGAACTCGAGGAACAACAACAAAGACAGCCCAGAGCAAGCAGAAGGAAGGAAATAACCAAGATCAGAGCAGAATTAAATGATATAGAGACTAAAAGCACAATTCTAAGGATCAATGAATCCAAGAGCTGGTTCTTTGAAAAGATAAACAAAATTGACAAGCCTTTAAGCAGACTCATCAAGAAAAAAAAGAGAAGACCCAAATAAACACAATCAGAAATGAAAGAGGAGAGATTACAACAGATACCACAGAAATACAAAGGATTGTAAGAAATTACTACGAAGAACTGTATGCCAAAAAAATTTGAAAACCTAGATGAAATGGACAACTTTCTAGAAAGATATAATCTTCCAAAACTCAATGAAAAAGAAGCAGAAAGCCTGAACAGACCAATAACAACAAAAAGAAATTGAAGCAGTAATCAAAAAACTCCCAACACACAAAAAGCCCTGGACCAGATGGTTTCACAGGAGAATTCTACAAAGCATTTAAGGAAGAGCTAACCCCTATCCTTCAC